TTTCATTAATTCAAGCCTATCACGAACATTTATGACAACATAAAATAATCATATATGGTTCCAAACGGCATTATATGACACCAAGATATATTCCTTGGAATTTCAAGACTTTTTCGACACCGAGTTCCGAAATCTTCAAAATTTCGCAAAATGCGTGGATATTAGTCTTCAATGTTGGAATTTTTTAACTTTTTTCGCTCAAAAATAAAAATTGCCAAAATGTTTACCATGGTTCCCAATACCCTCCGGGAGTCGGATTGGCTGGGTAGAACCATCCAATTTGCCTTTAATTTAAACGGTCAATTTACTGATTTACAATTTGCACCGATTTCATTAACTCAAGCCTACCACGAAAATTTATGACAACATATAATGATCATATATTGTTCCAAACGGCATTATATGACCCGAGATGTATCCCCTAAAATCTCAACGATTTTCGATACTGGACCTCGAAACCTTCAAAAAAAAAAACGTGGATATTAGCCTTAAAATTTGGAATTTTTTTACTTTTTTTTCGCTTGTAAATAAAAATTGTTGAAATGTTTACTATGGTCCCTAATACCTTCCGATAGTCCAATTGGGCGGGTGGAACCATCCAATTTGCATTTACATGTCAATTTACCGGTTTACAACTTGCACTTATTTCATTAATTCAAGCATACCACGAACATTTATGACAAACATATAATGGTCATTTATGGTTTCAAATGTCATTGTATGACTCCAAGACGCATCTAATAAAATCTCATTTCTTTTCGACACTTGGCCCCGAAACGTCGAAATTTCTAAAAAATGTGGATATTAGTCTTCAATTTAGGAATTTTTTGACTTTTTTTTCGCCCGAAAATAAAAATTACCGAAATGTTTAACATGGTCCATAATACCCTCCGAGAGTCCAATTGGGTGGGTTGAACTATCAATATTCCAATTTGCCTTTAATCGACTAATTTACTGGTTTACAACTTGCACCGATTTCATTAATTCAAACCTACCATAAACATTTATGACAAGAAATAATGATCATTTATGGTTCCAAACGGCATTATATGACCCCGAGATGTATCCCATAGAATTTCATGATTTTTCGACACCGGGCTCCGAAACCTCTAAAATTTCTCAAAAAACGTGGATATTAGCCTTCAATTTCGGAATTTTTGGACTTTTTTTCGCCTGACAATAAAAATTGCCAAAATGTTTACCATGGTTCCTAATACCCTCCGGGATTCCAATTGGGAGTATGGAACCATTCAATTTGCTTTTAAACGGCCAATTTACCAGTTTACAACTTGCACCGATTCACCGGTTTACAACAACCAATTTAATTAACTTGCATTGAACCTGACTTGAACCGAAATTGACCCAAACCCGTTTTAACCCGTCAAAACCTGAATCATTTAACCCGACTCTGACCTGAATTCAACCCGACCCGAATTTAACACAACCCGTTACAAACCCGACCCAAAATCAACCCGACTTGTTGTTGGCATGACCTAAATTCGACTCGACTTGTTATTGAACCGACCCAAATTTTACCACACCTATTACTTACCCAACCCAAAATTTCAACCCGATCTGTTACTAAATCAACTCAAAATTAACACGACTTAGCTTGTTATTGACCCGGCCTAAATTCAACCCAAATTGTTCCTGACCCGATTTCAATCACCTTAAATGCAATTTAGACAACCTTATTATTGTTGATCAAAGCATTTTGTCTTGGGAGACCAAGTCAGTCCATGCCAGCAAAAGAAAGGAGCATCATCCTCAAATTTAAGAGTTAAATATAGTATATATTTGTTGTATGGTCAAAGGAGATAATTATCTTCCTAATTATAGACTATAGTTCCCTAGTATATTTCCATATATATTATAGTCAAAGGAAATAATTAGCTTGATGAAAATGATAATTATCTATTTATAGTTAGTTGAACCCGAATATGACCTGACTTGGAAATGACCCAACCTGATTGTAACCTGCAAATTATTGACTTGACGTAACCTGACTTGAATCTGAGAATGACTCGACTTAGAAATGACCCAATCTGATTATAACCCGCAAATTATTGACTTGAACCAAACCCGACTTGAACCTGAGAATGACTCGACCTGGTTATAATCCGCAGATTATTGACTTGAACCGAACCTGACTCAAACCCGAGAATGACCCGACCTGATTCAAACCCGCAAATTATTGACTTGAACTGAACCCGATTCGAACCTGAGAATTACCCTAACCCGTTTTAACTTGTGAAAACTCGAATTAAACCCGACCTATTGTTCACCCGACCCGAATGTAACCCGACCTGAAATAGACCCAAACCCGATAAGAAGTATGACCCGACGTGACCCGACTCAAGCATGAACCAACCCAAACCCGACCTGCATAGGTTACAGAATTAATCTGAATTGACCCGACCCGAGTTGACCCGACGCACTCTTACCCGACCCAAACCTGATTCGTTTACCTGAATTGACAGCTCTAGACCTGGGTACAACCGTACAAGCTAAAGTTTATCCAATACGAGTAGTAATTTTTATTTAATTATTGAATAAACAATACTCATCAAAATAAACGAGTAGAAAATAACTTTAATTAGGTGTACCGTACACTTGAGTTGAATATAAGAAATCGTTTTTTCTACAGTAACACACTACCACATAAGAAAATTTTAATATCCTTTTACAATGTTGCAACTTTTAAGAATAAGAATAAAAATTTGTGGTTTTCTTTAATGTAGTAACAATACCCAATAGGTTCTTATCTTAAACAAGGATATATCCAGTAGGATAGTAGGTCTGTAGGTGAACTTCAGAGTTGAGAGAATCAACCACCCAACAAATTTGATGATTCTATAATTGACCTTGCAATAATTTTGGAAAGCTTGTAGAAGCAAAGAATTTTCCATTTTTTTTTTTCCAAATAAAAGCTTCACTTCTCTAAAAATCTACAAGTACTGTTTTTTTTCAATTGGATGAGATTGATTACCATTACCACCATTTATTTTATCTGTATTTAATTTTTATTAGCAAAACCCTTATAATTTCTCTTACTTTCCTAAAGATAATAAACTAAGCTACATTGTATATATATAATCTTAATTTGATTTTAATTTAATCCTCGATTCTGTACTAGCTCTAAAATTTAAATTTTATCCTAAAACTGTATATATATATGAGCAATGAGACTTTTATTTAAAAACGGATTAAATATAGTAAAATTATAATAATAATGATTTTATAAATGCATGCATGCAGCATGCGTAGCTTAGCTAAGATGGGAAATAACATGGATGCATCGTATATTCATATATGTATGCATGTAGTCATTAGACTAGCATAATATTATGTCGTGCTTATGCAACAAACCAAATTTATAATAATGTTGTTTGTTGTACTTTATAATGGTTATAAAGTTTTGTGTTTTTTCATCACCTACCTTTTGAGGGAGCATCGAGCCTATCCCATTCTAAATTATTGCTATATATTGCATGCTTTTATTTGGCTCATATGAGTCAGAAATTGGTCATTATTTAAATAAGTGAAATGATTAATTTAAACATTGTAGTATTACTTTTTTTTTTTTTTTTTAAATGGAGCATTATAATATTAGGGTATGTTTTAATTTACTGAATTGAGCTGAACTGAACTGAACTGCACTGAAATGTACTCCGTATATTTTATGAGAGAAAAATGAAGGAATTGAAGTGAACTGAAATTAAGCTGAAGAGAGCAGACTCTTACTTTTACATTGATATCTTGACATTTGCATTAATTTTGAATTATAGATTAGTAAAAATCCAATTTTAATTATCTGTGCAAGACTACGTACTATAAACTTTATAAAGTCAATCTTACTAAATGCCAAATTATCAATAATAATGTAGTTTGTTGTACTTTGTCCACAAATAAGATATGTCCCCACTCCCTTTAGCTAAGGATTAAGGACCCCCCTTACAAATTACCTTTTAAGTAATTAAAATTAAAGGGGGTCGTCCCAAATTGGCACTCCCAATAATTCAATAAGGAATTAAGGACCACGTAATTATTTGTATAAAGTTTTTTGTTTTGTCATTGGTCACCTTTCTTTTTTAGGGGAGCATCTACCCTATCTAGTTGCAATATTTGTTGGTATGATTCATAATTTCCTTATATAATGTGTTCATGACCTAAAAATTGGCTAAACATGAAACTTGTATAAATGGATGCCATGCACTCATATGCATTATTTATGACCTTTGCTGTGAGAATGTGAGTTATCTTCGTGTCATATTGTGTTAGATATTGTGTTATATGCAATCCTATTTGTAATCTTACTATTTAGTTTAGACGATATTTGGGTGATGAGTCATTTTTCTTTGGCTTCAGTTCAGTTGAAATATGGTCATATATAAATCTAATTATGATTAATTTATTGGGAAATCAATCAAATATCACTCACTTTTAGATAGAAATAATGTAAAATCGTGTTGAATTCGAGACCACTAGTAGTATGTAGAATTCACAAATTTGAGAATAATATCATGATAGTTCTAGAGCTAGAGTGCTAGACAGAGTGGCAAAACCATCAAACAATATACTTTACATCCACAACTTTTGGCCCAAACATGTCATGGACCTTTTCCAAACTTTTTGAATCCTATGGTTTGGCCTACATTTGAGAGTTGAGAAATTAGGCCATCAATATCTACAAATGGTTGTGCGGCCCAAAACAAATGGCCTAAAAATTATTCATCAATTCACAACCAAAAAACGACATGAAATTTGGAACGAGTATAATGAATTTACAAATACATGACTAACATGAGTATTATTCCTAGAATTTTACTTAGGACTTTAGGAGAGTGTTTAAAATTATCCACATACCATGATTATAGATCCTCAATTATACAAGATTATAAACTCTAATTTAATTTTTTTTTTTTCCTTATGGATAAACATATATAAGACGACTCACTCTTCTTGCTAATCGGTTCTCATATGTATATATAAGAAAAATTATTTCCGTGATTAATTATTGTCCTTGATCCTCAATTAAATGCTTATTAAGAAGTTAAAACTTCCCCAACCACACCTTGATATTGACCTCTCACCCTCCAAATACCATATAATATGTCATGGACTTCATATGAGCAAGTTGGAACTTGTTATGCCACAAAAATCAGTTATGACCTGGCAGATAGCCAAAGCCTTTCCACCACTTAGAATCCAAACCAACCCAACTCACCCCACCTTATCCTAAAAAGAGAGCCAAAAATAATTAATCACAAAAATCACATACCCTAAAAAAAAAAAAGTTAAGCAAACAAAAAACAAACTTTATCAACATTTTTTGAGAATGGATAGTAGAGATGACCACCCTTGCAACCAACACCACCATCAATTCAACCACATCCAAAGTCACGGCCTCCGGTACACCTTTTCCAACCTTCCCCGGCCACTACCAATGTCGGAAAAAATTTCTCTCCACTCATCCTATCCATACCAATCGTCGAACAATTTCTCTACCACATGGTGAGTTGTTAACACGTACAATATACAACTACTAGCTAGTTTAAATGGTAAAATTCATTGAGATTTCTTTTAAGGCGTTACATTATCACCTACTCGTGTTATTAAATTATAATTGATTATGGCAGTAACAAATGATCAAAGCAAGACAAAAGTGAGCTCTAATTCAAGGGTTGGAAAATCAGAAGCAGATGAAATAGTGGATGGGATGGAATTTGGGGAACTATGCAATGAGTTTGAGTGCAAAAGTAGTCCATTGGTTGAATCAACTGCTAGACAACTTGTACGTGATATCTTAGAGCTTAGGGAAGGTAATCGTGCACTTGGCACTTTTGCTGTTTCTGTTAAATACAAGGTAACTACATTTTTATTTTTATTACTCGTATTTTATTTATTGTATTGTATTATACGAAGTATAAAGTTATTTAATCTGACTATTATATGCTAGATTTAATGATGATCATACCAAATATTGACCGTCATTTATATAAGGTGTCTACCAGTTTAGTAAGTAAAGCGCTTATGACTAGACTTACAATCAAGATCCGAGACCCATTTGCCTTCCTTTGTGACTCTCTATGAGCACCTCCCCTGCCCCGGCCCCCTGCCTCGTGTCGAAAAGGTGTGAGTACATTGATGACCCCTTGATGCAAAATGCAGGATCCAGTTAGAAGCTTTACTGGACGAGAGAAGTACAAAAGACCACTTTGGATAACTGATGCACTAGACAATCCTAAAGTGGTAAAATTATTATACTACTACCTAGCTAGTTTAATTCTGTTTCATATTAATATCAATTTTTTTTATATAATTCTGTTATATTGTTGATTTGATCATAATATATAGACAGTGCAAGAAATGATGATGCAGTCAACAAGTGTGCTAAACATCAAATGGACCCTCAAAGGGAAGCCTAAGTCAATTTTGGCTAGCATAGGTGGAGATTTGATCATTAAGGTGACTTCTAAGTTCACCTTAAACCAGATTAGTGGCCAAGTAATCGAGCACGAGGAATCCTGGGATCTATCTGCATCATCACCTATAGCTCAAGCATACTTCTGGTCATCTCGCCGCCTCTATGCAACGAAAGAAGCTGGGAAGGATGCGGTGGATTCTGTTAAGGAACTCGGTAGCAAGGTTTCTTCCCCTAAGGAAAACATTGAGATATACCCTGATCCTTCTGGTGATCCCACCAAGGTAACTTCATTTCCAATATTATTGATTACAACTTGTCCTTAATAATTTATCTACGATATATAAGTTGAAGATAACAAGACCTTAGTTGTTACACTCCACTATCAGCAATTAGACATTATCGGTCATAAACTGGTCATAGAAGGTAGAAATTGACGCGATACAATATGATGTAACTAATGGTAGAAGATTGATGCATGATTTTCTAGGGTTTTTTTTAGTTAATTGAAGATTAACAATGTTTGTTTTTCATGTTACAGTTCTTTCAAAGGGATGACTCCTACCAAAGGGATTTGTACCAGATTGCATTATTCCTAGCACTTATTTACTTTGTTGTACAGTACTTAAGGAACACTTTGTAAAATTTACATGCTCGAATCGTTTATACTTAGTATGTCTTTTTTTTCGGGTAAAAGAAAATACGTAGTATATTACTATAAATAAGTATATAGCATATACTTCGTACTTATTTATTATGTATTTTCTATATTTCAAAAGCGATTATAAATTACCATTTTTATATGTAAAATAAAGATTCAGAAATTGTTGCAAGTGCTAATACAGAAAGGTAAGCCCAAGGCCAGAAAGTGTGAAGGTAGCTGAAGCTTCCTCTTTGTCCACTCAGATCATAGGTATTCTTCGCCGCCATGAAAGCATGGAAAATAGAAGGCATTAGGAGAATGATGTTAAATCACATTATACATGTATGTAAATTAATGAAATCGGACGAAAAATCAATTGATAACAGCTCCTTCGCAATATAAAAAAATTCCTAGAAAAAAATTAATGGATTTTTTAATGATCAATTGTGAAAAAAAGGTTAATTAGCACAAACAAAAACAATAAACTCCTCCCAGAAATTAAAGAGTTAGCTGAAGAAAGATCATGGGCGCCTACAGTATACACAGCTCCTGACTCTGAATCTTTTACTTTGATGCTCGACGAGCCTGTAATTCAGCAAGAAAACAGTTCAGACAGAGATACATTTATAAAGGTGACATTGTATCGTTTTTAGAATTTTTCAGACAGCCTCGAAATTTTTGTATGAAATAATACGAATGGCTTTGAATAATTGGACCAAAATTATACTACTGCTGGTCTGGAGTGAGACCGGTTTCACACAGATCTTTGCACAAAATGATACTCCGTATTTCTTTTTTCAAAATAAAAATCATTTGTGAGTTGCAGTGGAGGTTATGAAACTCACAATTGTATTCGGTCCATCCAATAGTTTGATTTACAAGGTCATAAAACACTACTTTGCCGGAGAGCACAATATCTGTAGCATAGCAACGAACCATTATTAGAAAAAGTAAAGAAGCTGTAAGAAAACAACCTTATTTACAGGGGCAGAACTTGCAATACGATAATTAAACACTGATTTTAGAAATTGCTATGATATACAAGTATTTTATACCTCCCAAGATGGTAACATCTTTCCCGTCTCTAGATTGTAATCCACTGTTCATCCAACCTACACACCACTTATTTTCCTGAAAAACAAAAATTAGCACATTTAATAACACAACTGATTTGCAAAGAGGTGTAAGATATAAACCTAAGTATTCTACATTTTAAAGGTTTAGCACAACCTTTGCATGATGAGTAGTACTACACACCATACAAAATAATGAAATGTTACTTGCATTCTACAACAAGCCCCCTAGAAACTTTATTCCGAGATAAGAAAACATTCCAGGTACATATACTTACGCCTTCAGTGAGTGGAAAGAAATATTCATGGGGATGTACTGTCAAGGTGAGAGAATTTGCAAAACGGAAGATAACATTGGGGAATCCATCGTCAATTCTGGAACACAGGTGAAACAATTAGTTACTCAGAAAGTAAGTAAAGCTAAGAAAACTATAAAGCATTTGGAAACAATTAGTTGTGTAAACAATGTAATAAACAAATCATAAACAGGTATTTACAACATGTGGAGAACTATTAGTCCACGGTTTTTTAAAATCAGAGTTTGACCACTATTTCCTCGACAAATATAATGGTCAAGACCTCAAAAAATGTAGATGTCTTGCATTAACAAACAAAGGGAAATCAGTAATCAGAAATATTGATCTCAAGGAATCTTTGGCTTTGGGTGTAGCACTTCAATCTGCCTATAAGTATAATTTTACTTTAAACTTGGTAAAAGAAAATCCCATATGACTATCTCATACTTAAATTAGGTACATTGTTTAGAAGTTATTTTCTTCTATTACTTAGTTTAGACATAATTTAATCCTATTCAAGCTTTGCACTATCATCTATCTTTTTGACTCCTTGTAGTGTATTCATCAAATTTCATCCGAACACACCCTTGTGACCTGGGTATCTTCCAGATTCAAAATAACAAGATGGAAATAAAATTTAAATTATGTTCTTCCTACCAAGACTTTTTACTCTGAACGATAATAAAATGAATATAAAAGAGCACATAAACAAACAAGTAGAGTCCAATTCAGAGAAACGCTATCATAAATTTCAAGCAAAAGGAGACTTACTTTCCAGAATATTGAAAGCATTTGAATTGATCCTCTACAGTATGTAATTGTAGCTGGGGCTGCTTGGCAAGAATCTTTGGAAAACAATAGAAACCAAAAAAAATAAGTGTTACATATTCAGCTTCCACAATAGCAAAATCCACCTTCCTATAGAATGGACATAAAGACAGAGCACCTACTGTGTTAACAATCTTGTCATAAACATCATCTGGGAGATACGCCAAAGTAGTACCACTGTCAATAATTGCTCCCCTATCGCTCCCAGAGGTATCGGTATCGAGTTTTACAACCTCGCCATCCACCTCTATACTTTTCATGACAACATTGTAATGTGCCCTAAGAGGGTAGTAGCAGTCTGATTACAACATACATAGCAGGTCTCAATAAAAGCCTAATTAAACATGCAAACATGTATATTATTTTACCACAGAAGTGTAGGCAATCATGTTCACATAGTCCTTCTAACTACATTATGCATATTGAACTTATACCAGTGTTAGAATCTTAAGAGTGATCGAAAGAAACTGTTACCCCATAATAGCAATGGAATATTATTGCCTTTCCTAAAATACCTCTTGAAGTCATGATGATAGAAAGAGAAGAGTGTGAAAATGATTTAATTAATAGTGCCTGTAAGTAAGATTATGTAATTTCTTTGATTACCAGCAAAACTGGAAGGCTTTTTATAAAGAGCAAAAAATTTACACTGCAAAAGAATCATTTATTTTTAACAACCAAGAACCGTTATTGCAAGAACTTTAATCTGCAAACAATAAACTCACTACCTCAAGTCCCCAATATCTTTCTCCATTACAGATATCATTGTCATGCAACATTCAAAAAAATACCTCAGGGATCATCCTCTCATAAGACCAAGTGATTCAAATCTAGCTTATAAAAAGAAGGCTAAAAAAGGCCCTAACACAACAGAAAATAGAGATGGAAAGAAGGCAAAGTTTTTTAAGCAAGTAACACTTCAATCACATCACCATGCAAATTAAAAACGGCTATTTCACCAAATGCCACTGAGTAATTTAAAAATTTACCAAATGCCATCGGACTTTTCAGAATTCACCAAATGCCACTCAGTTTTTTAAAAATTCACCGAGTGCCATTAATGACCAACGGCCGTTAACTCCGTTAGTCATTGGGGGTTAATCATGACACGTGTCATGATATAATTGGTTAATTTATCTTAATTCATAAAAATTAAAAAAAAAAAAACTAAAAATTAAAAAAAAAAAAAACCACAAAAATTTCCCAGCCATCCCCACCACCGCCAAACCCAAGCCCCACCCCTTACCTCGCCGGGAAACGGCCGGCCACCACCTTAACCACCAAATATCGGTCGGCCGACCCTTTAGCCCCGCACCTGACCCACCGCCGACCCCTAAAACCACCCACGCTGCCCGCCCCGACCCCAAAAACCACCCACACGTACAGTCGCCCCGACCCCCAAAACCACCAATAAAACGCCCCTCCTCTCTTCTCCCACCGTCGAAACGACCGATTTCGAGGGTGGGAAAGGAAGGAGCGGCGATTTTGGCGACGGAGGTAAGGAGAGGGTGCTTGATTTTGGCGATTTTGGTGACGGAGGTAAGGCCGTAAGGCGACCGATTTCGATGTTGGTGGTTTATGGGGTCGGGGCAGTTTGTGTGGGAGGTTTTGGGGGTCGGCGGCGGGTCAGGTGGGGCACCTAAAGGCCGGCCGACCGATTGCTGGTGGTTAAGGTGGTGACCGGCCGTTTTCCGGCGAGATAAGGGGAGCGGCTAGGGTTTGGCGGTGGTGGGTAGGTGGCTAGGAAATTTTGGTTTTTTTTTATTATTTTTTGTTTTTTTTTAATTTTTATGAATTAAGATAAATGGTTCAATCATATCATGACATGTGTCATGATTAACCCCTAATGACTAACGGAGTTAACGGCCGTTGGTCATTAATGGCACTCGGTGAATTTTTAAAAAACTGGATGGCATTTGGTGAATTCTGAAAAGTCCGATGGCATTTGGTGAATTTTTAAATTACTCAGTGGCATTTGGTGAAATAGCCGAATTAAAAATAAGCATTAACACAACAAAGCCAATGAAATCACCACTTATATAACCTATGTTACACAGACTGTCCATTACATCTCAAGTATCCTTGTCAAATACTCAACACCAAGCATGAGTATGGACACTTCACAAGTAAATAATAACATAGATATGGAAAAAATGAAGGAAAAAAAAACCGAGTCAAACATTTACATGTGGACATGTACGAGCACCTTGGAGCAATATAATGCAAGTGATGCAAAAGCAAGTATAAAAATAAAATTACAACAATAGATAGCATGACATACTGGTTTGGAATTAATGGAGTATGATTCATCTTAGGCTCGATAACACGGCCAATGGAAAATATTCCACCACCCTTTTTATTGTCCAGGCAGTGAGAAAACATCTTCTGCACCTTTCCTGAAGCTGCAAGCTGTGACAGCACAGACGAGTTTGCTTGTCCAAAACCCATTATCCCATCAAGTGCTTCATCTGCTGTAATGAGCTGACCGGATTGTTTAGCACCACAACTGATAGAGACAATACAATATTCTCAGAAGAGCATCATTTGTAAATTGACAGAAAGAGAGCATAAGTAGTTATAATGTAAACAATGTTTGACTGTTCCCATCCATTCACATGAAAAATAAAAAAACACAGTTCTAAACAAGTTATTACCCAAAAACAATAGAGCCATTCCCACTTGTTGTTTGCATATTCCCAGAGACCCTATCATAATGAAAATCATCTTCAACAAAGTATCCAGAAGTTGTGCTCCCATCACCATAAGTTACTTCATATTGACAAAGCATATCTGGTTGGCAACCAGATAGAGTGCCCTGGTATATCATGGTACATTGAGAATCATCACAGTTTACTAAGTTGGCCGTAGATGAAGTCTTTGGATCATAGAGATTCAGCTTTATCTGCATGAACACAATAACATGAGTTTCCAAAGCTGACAAATACAGATTAATAAGGTCAAAATTGGTTCAAGAGATTACGCATAACATACTCCAAGCCCACTCTTCTTGGGGCACTTTTCGCATCCCTCACAGTTTATCCACAAAACATCACTTCCTGTATCAATCTGTACATGATACTCCTTAGGAGGCTTTCCAATCTTAATTTTCGTAAAGTACAGCCTACAAACATAAAGATATTCTAAAAATCAATAATTTCCTTGTTATATTAAGGATTTTATAGACCCATGAATCTCTATACACTTGAGAATATGATGTCATAATTTTCCTACTATTAAAGCAGCATATCACTGGTAATCTTTTAAAAAGTTTAAGGATCAACTTGAATTTTTGAGCCTGTTAAAACACAAAAGTACAATTTAATCCACCTTCTCTACATTTTATTCTTGAATTAACAGCTAGTGAGGAATTACACGTATCATCAGAATATCCCCAAGAATGAGTCATTTGTCCCACCTTAAGATACAGAGTACTTTGTATTATGCAATATGCATCATTTAAAATGAACTAAAGAGTTGAGCTATTTGCCAAAATCTTAGCCACCAAGACCTTGTAAGGCTAAAAATAGGGAAAGCAACTTTACCCTCACATGTCCACCTCTTCACTTTTATGATTGGTTGAAATAAGGTAAAGTTGATTTTGCTATCATTTAGCTCTTTATAATTTTCTTTACACAAAGATAGAAATACTTCAATTCCACCTCTCCCCAATATTCCAACCAAAGGTTTTTGTGGGTTGTTTCAGAATACCATCTACATTACCCTAAAAGTTAATACAAATTCTTTTACAAGACGGTCTGAAAGATTCCATTCATTTTCGAAATACAGTCAATATTCAAACCTTAACCAAAATACAACTAACACCTAATTTACCAATTCTTGTATTGGATGGTCTGAAAGGTTCCATTCAATTTTCAGAACACGATCAATAAAACCTTTACTAGTTTACCACAAACACCTACTTTACCAATTCTTGTATTAAGCGGTCGAACGAGTTCCATTTCATTTTCTAAACACAATTAATCAAACCTAAACAATCTACCACTAACACCTATTCAACCAGCCAATTCTTGTATCAGACAGTCTGAAAAGTTCCATTCCAATTTCGAAATACCATCAATTGAGTCCTTAATTTAACCAACAATAATCAAATAAAAGCAACTAAATGCATCAAATCAAACAACACATTAAAAAAAATATACAGTATAACAATTACAACTACAAATTCAAAACCAATTAAAAAAAGAAGATAATTAAAATCATGATAAATGAGAGAGAAAATAAAAATAAAGAACAAACCCAGCATCAGAAGGCTGCCCATTACCACCAAGAGGCAAATCAACAGCATCAAGCATTCTACCATGGCGACGAACATCATGTGCTCTAAGCTCCTTCAATGTTCTATTCCCACCTTTAAATTTATGTTCAACCTCAAAAAAAGCATTGCCTGAAACCATTAAAATCTCGTTGCATTGCCAAATACAAATTACACCCAACACCATTAAAACTCTTAGATCCATTGCAACCCAGAAAATTTCTGAAACAACCCACAAAAATCCAGATTCAAAATTCAATTTTTTTTTGTATTTTTTGATTTTTTAAATTTTTTTTTGATTTTTTTTGGGTTAATTTAAAAATTGAGTTAAATTTGAAAATGGGATGATTTTGAAAATGGGTTATTTAAGTGGAGAAAAGGAGAAGAAGCTGGTGCTCCATTGATTGACCAGGTTCCTTAAATTTGAGGGAAGAGAGAGAAGAAAGACAGAGAGGAGAGAGAAAGAAGAAGAAATCAGGGGAATAAAAAAGAAAAGGTAAAGGAAAATGAGAGATCTGGTTTGATGCAAAATATTGAGACTATTTTTGATTTTTGGCTAAATTTCTTAAATATAGGAGACATTTGACTGTCAATAAGATATTCCGATTTTGCTTCCTCTACTTCAATTCTTCTAGTAACATTTCTTCTCAATTTAATCGAACCTTCTTTTGTTATAGGGCTATAGTAAGTCTTGTACATAGTCCCATGTTTGACGGTTCTAATTTACTTTGTAGTTGTTGATTCGTCACATGATATTTTATTAATATTTGATTGATATAAAAATGAAGATATGAAAAGGATAAAAAAATAAAGATAATTAATATGAAGTTTATATGTTTATATAATTTACAAAGACATGTCTTTTGATAATTGAAAAGTCATATGGGACAAATAAATAAGGATAGAAGGAGTAATATGAAACACTTTTTGGTCCCTATTTGTAAGTGAAGGAACAGTAGAGAAAGTGATCTGAGTTAAGCTATGTGGCGCCAATTCTTCTTAATACATTGTTAATGTCGTTCGATGACGCGCGATGGAGATGTGGTTGGTGTGTCACTAGATCGGCAAGCGAACATTGTAGTCCTTCTCCCTCAAGGGGGATTTTCGGGAAAATGGTGAATTAAGGTAGAGTAGATGTAGTCATGCGAGTTGATCCGACAGGTGGTTGATCAAAGGAGTACAGTCTCATTCGAGCAAAAGAACGTGACTTTCTTCTCGGAGGGGACATTGCCTGTGCCAAAGACGAGCCTTTAGATTAAATCCTTAAAAGTCAAATAGAACAAGTAAATAGGAACGGAAGAAGTATTATGTTGTCCGTATATTGTTGATATGTTATTCTTCATATACTACCTCGGGTAAGTTACAACTAAAAAAAATCGGAGGTAGTATTAATTTTGTAAGATTTGTTTATAAGAAAAAATCATTCCTAAAAGGCTAGAAATTCAACTTTTTTATACTTTGTTTGGTCAATTAAACAACACCTATGGCCCTGTTTGGGAGAAAGCTGAAAGCTGAGGCTGATTGAGTTAGTTGATTTTGACTAACTGATTTTATTAACTAATTTGACTAACTTATTGTATTAATTGATTATATAAAAGTGTTTGGTAAATAGCTGATAGTTTAAAGGTGATTGAGTATGTGAAATGACCAATAAGCTAATTGTGGGGTAGGTAGTTTAGATAGAATTTTAAATTAAATGAGGTTATAAGTGTCATTTCACAATAATTAATGAATAAGCTAATTGAAAAAGCTTACTACCAAACACTTGTATCCACTTTAAGCTAATCAATAAGTTTACTACCAAACACTTGTATTAGCTTGTTTGACTAGTCAATCAGCTAAAGTTAGTCAAATAAGCTAATATACCCCCCAATAAGCTAACTACCAAACATTGCCTATCATAATTGGAGAATATAGATGAAATAAGGAAGATTGAAGAGAGTACTATTCCAATTTCCAAAGTCTGAAGTAATTTGGTATCCACTTTAAGCTGGTGATTGTAAAAAGAAGTTACTGAGTAGCTTCTAGATGGTAGGTTCGTTAGTTTTTTTTTTTTTTTTTTTTTTTTTGACAAAATAGGTTCGTTAGTTTACGTACCTTTTTATTTCTTTCTCTCAGCAAGTCAATTTTCTAGACAGCCTCTGTGAGTTCTGACAAAGGAATAAAGAGAAAATCCGCATGACATTTATTTATACAGTACATAAACATGACGCTCAACACATGATTTTCTTTTGTGGAAGTTATCCCACCCTTTTCTTTTCACGTGTTCAAGCATCATCATGCTTAGCTTCTTCATTTAGTTTCCTATAGATCCAAATCTTGACCTCTTATGTTGGGCTACTAACAAATTTTATGTACGGATGATCATATCGTGTGTCCGGGGTTACTTAAATATTGAGTGATTTTGTCAGGAGTTAATCGGTTAAGGATTACTTGAGGGGTTAAGAGATTACTCGGTCAGGAATTAGTTGAGGGATTACCCAGTCAGGGATTATTTGAGAGGATCAGTCAAGGGTTACTCGAGGGGTTTGATCAGCAGTTACTCGGTCAAGTTTAATTTGCTTTAATGTTATGTCATCTTAATCCGATAACTGATTATTTATCTGATGAGTTGGGATCACTTTTATCAGTCCAAACCTTCTTCGCATACTGAATCTAACACTTTTACGGTAATTTTCATTACTCTACTCACAGAGGAAATAGTAGCAATTTATATATATCTACATTTAAGTACACCATAATCGTCAATTTTTTTTTTAAAAGTCACTTCTTAATTACTATTTGATTATTTAAGCATTCATTATCTAGGGAGATTGTATTAGATAGAGAATATATTTTGGTAACTTTTAGGCAACCTTTTTTTTCTTTCAATTTAGGAAACAACATTACAAGAAATTAAAAACACAATCACACTACACTAGACCATCTATGAAACATCAACCGATCTAGACAAATGCCAAATCTGAAGATGCAATACATGGCCTATTTATTCAGTTCACAATACACCCAAAAACTTGAGGAAAATCAAAGCAAACTACACATATTCGGTTACACCATAGAGTGATGATAACTGCTTGATTTCAGAGTTTAGTCGCAATTGCAAGGGTCACAGCTGCAGTCATCTCCACAACCACACTCGCTTCTGGAATACATCCTAAAATTTAAGAAAATAAAAATTATTAGAGACGTAACGTTGTCTAGGAAGGTCCAAAATGTACACAATTATATCCTTATGATTTTACTAGCACAATTGAAGACGTATTATATAAAGTCGCACAAATAGAGAGAGACTTTATATATCACTACAACAAAATAAAGCAAAGGTAACAATGAAAAACCATTGCCTAATATAAAAAAAGTGTTGCCTTGTAGCTAAGACAACTCATATGAGGTGTAAATTATGCCCCCGTTGTCTATTCATAAGTCAACACATTTTTATTCAAAGGTAAAAATTTTGAAAGCTTAGGTAAAATGATACATAAGGCAACACTTTAACAAAGACAACAAATGAAAATGTTGTCATCTAAGAAGATAATTCAAAAATGTTGTCACTCCAACCACAAATGGCAAGCGGTTTTGGATGAACCGCTTACCAAAATGTAAATGGCAAGCGGTTTGAGCATTGAACCGCTTGCCATTTGGTCAAAAAAAACCCTAGAAAATTAAAACCCACTAGCTCATGCCCTCATCTTCTCTCTCCTCCGTCCCCTTTCCCCTCATTTTCACGCTCTCTCTCCTCTGATCTATCCCCTCATTTTTTCTCTCTCCTCTCATTTTCACGCCCTCTCTCCTCTTTCTCCCCTCCATTACGCCTCAGTTCTTTCTCCTCTATCTCCCCTCCATCCTTTATCGTCTTCTCTTATCTCCTTTCTCAACCTCCCTTCTTTCCTTTCTCATGCCTCACCACAACGAAGAACGACGGACACATATCTCACGCCTCACCACAACGAAGAACGACGAACGCCTCAGTACCCAACGACGAGAATGAAGAAAACGTTTGGGTTCAGTTTTCCGGCTCGGCGTTAGGGTTCAAATCGCTGCCTCTCAAGTCATATCTCACTTGATTTTCCGGTATTTCATTAAATTTTTAGCTAATTTTTGAGTTTTTGCATATATTATGTTTGTGTATAATTTAAGATCTGAACCCGGTATGTTTGTGTATAATTTTCGGTTTTTAGCTTTAAAATTTTGTTGTTTATAATTTAAGATCTGAACCCGGTATGTTTGTGTATAATTTTCGAGTTTTTAGCTTTAAAATTTTGTTGTTCATAATTTAAGATCTGATTTTTTTTTTTTTTTTTTTTACACAAAAGATCTGAAATTAAGTTAATAATTATTGTTGTTTATTTTTTCAATTTATTGTTTGGCAGATACGGTGAATCGGGATAGGGTGTGGTGGTAATACGGGTTAAGGTGGTTAGTGGTGGCGGCTGGTGGTGCGCGCGACTGGTGGTGTGCACGGCTGGTGAACAAGAGCAGCATCAGTTTTAATATGCTTGTTTTTTTTTTTTTTTTTTATTTTATGAAAATGTAATATTACAACAATTAATTAATAAAAATATTAATATTTTTGCATATATTATGTTTGTGTTTCAATTTAATTGAAAAAACTAAAAAAAAAAAAAAATAATTTTTTATACCCATAATGGGCAGCGGTTTGGCGCCAAAACCGCTGCCCTTTCATTACAAATGGCAAGCGGTTCTGAACCGCTTGCCATTTAAAAGGCTAATGGCAAGCCCCCCAATGGCATGCGGTTCAAAACCGCTTCCCATTAGGGGGTTTGAACAGCTTGCCATTATGTTTATTCTACTACTGATATGTTGTCATTTTAATATAAATGTTGCTATAGATGGCAACATAGATATTAATGTTACATTTTTCAAACAATAGTTTTGTTATTGTTATCTTTTGATGCAACAATTATTATATTTGTTGTCTTAGACAATTAGACAAGAAAAAGGTAACACTTTAAGCGACTGTTGCCTTATATAGTCTAGAACAACACATTTTTTTCTGTTACTTTAGTTCAAGGTAACAAATAAGTATTGTTGCGTTAGATTATTAAGAATAACATTTCTATAAGTGTTGCAATGTTAAGTGTTGCCTAATTTCATTTTTTTTGTAGTGTATGGACAATATTTTATACATTTGAACCACCATAACAATTTACATTACTACTATATATTGTTTCTAAATGCCATTATAAAACATATCAAAACCGCTTGCACAAGTTACATCTATTTGAAGTATACACCATGCAATTAGTTTCCGATTTGGGATTATTATATTTCCTGGCAACTTCCAACTTAATAGTTGTCAAATTAATGTGTCTCCTTTACTAAGGAATATTAATAGAGAGAGGCCTTTCAATAGGTTTATTAGTTGGGGTCCACCCCCATGTAATATATTACTTTAATTAATTAGGTATGCTATCATTTATGAGTGAGAGCTTAGAGATTCAAATCTCGGACCCTTTTATATTTTTACTAGAGAAGATCATAATATAGAACACTAGGCATATTGCAAGGCAGCTACCATCATGGTTGAATACCTTGCATACCATTCTAGTAAATTACGAGTAATAATCTATTCAAGAAGCTAAGGTACGTTATATACTCATATATATATACCTGTTGCAGTTGCAGTCGTCGCCACAGCTGCAGTTATCGCCACAACCACAACTTCTTTGTGCCATTTTCGTTCTCAGAGATTGCTGATTACGCTTCGCAAGAAAGGTTGTAAGAGAATTTGAATTAAGAAAAATACAATTGTATGTGATGAATGGAATGAATGGACATTGACATCTATTTATAGAATGTTTGAGGCATTATAAAAATGTGTAACATCACAATCATACACGTCTAATGTGTTAGATTATGGTATTTAATTAACTAACCAAGTCAACCGTACAATATGTCAACATCAGCAATATTATTGTGTAGCAAAGGTACGGTCTTGTATGATTCTTTGATTCTTTCTCCACTTAAAGTGTGAAAAAACTCATGAAGGTATCATTCATCAAGCAATTAACCTACGTGGTTTTGTGTTTGGTCGTTGGATATGATTATCGTTTTACAATAATAATTTTGAATAGATATATAGTATATGTGATTATTATTTAATGTCGACAACAGATATATATAAACCATCTATCACTGTCATTCCGTCTAATTTAAAAACGGAGCATGTACAAAAAAAAAAAAAAAACTGATTTTACAAGTTTGTAAAAAGGTTTTTAAGAAATGTTCTTTTTACATGTTAAATCATTAATTAATTAGCTAAATATTGTAATCCCTGGTATAGTGGTATTTGAGGTTTAAAGTAAAATACTTGATATAATAATTAATAGATACCTTATGAATAAATAATTTATCAAATCTAATGACAGTCAACATTGAATAATTCGAGCTACACTAAAACAGCATGAAGAAGGACTTCTTTGCAAGTTGACATCAAATAATTAAAACTATAGATAAATGCACTCCTAATAGTGGATTAGTGGAATCACATTATTTTTATTTGTAAGATTTGGTAACCAAAAAAATAAAATAAAAATAAAAAGAAAAAAGAATAAGCTGCCATTAAAAAATCATATAAGTAGTAACAATAATTAAGTTTTACTAGAATGGCTTGCATAATTGCATTTTTCTTTCAAAAAAACAGAAAAACAAAGAATGGCTTGCATTTTTATGCCATCCATATTCTTTCATTATATAGAGCCCAATAAAAAGGCCAGATTTTGATCCAGGCCCAATTAATATGAGGCCCAGTTTCTAAGTGAGCTGGTTATGGACTATTTTGGATCAAAATTTTGAAATCTGAAATTTATGGTTGCAAATAATTTGCTATCATCAGCCAATCAACACTTAGATACGTAGTAGATAAAATCTTTAACATTTTATTAATTTATTTATTTATTTTGGTTTTTGGTGTTTACATTTAATTAAGTCTCTTCCACAATATTTTGTGGATAAAGCTCGATATCCAAATTAGGAGGAAATCTAGCCTTCAACTTGTCACAGTAGACACTTTTCAAAGATTTAGCCTTTAGGCTGAAGGTGATGATTTTTGTTTTCTTATGTAGAAGAAATTTAGAAATTTGATAAGTAACAAAATTTGATGTTATAATGAGTCATATTTTATATTGTACTTATCTTTTGTTTTTCATTGTGATTTTTTAGCAGTTAAATTACCATTGGTATACAAAAAATAAACTACTCTTTCTGACGAAATGGTATAAAAATTAAATTTATCAAGATCCAATTAGTTGAAATTGGTTTGTATAATTCACATTATTACATATTACGTATATGATCTTTGCTATAATAAGCATTTTAAATAGTTAATCAAATAATATCGGCATATACCACCACATGCATCATACACGTTGGCATATACAAGATATATGTACTACACGTGTCAATTGGACGATGATCTATGCTATAATGATTGTCCTACCAATGAAGAAACTAGATATTTAAACACCCATTGCTTTACTACCACAAACTTACAAAGGCATATAGAACGATCCCTTTTCTCATTCTTTTCTACAAACCACAAAACACTTCATTTCTTCACTCATTCATCTCTCAAAACCCAAAACTTTCCCAAAACAACAAAAAAAATTCATTTCAATGGCTCTCAATCTATCTCTATCTCATCAATCATGGACATCCGCAACTAATCCGATCGCCTCATCGGATCACACCCGTTGCTCGGCCCCCGGAAGCCGGTTGCTGAGACGGGTCGAATTTTTTGGGAGTTATCAAAAGAGTAAAGGGATTTTTGTGAAGAGGAAAGATAGAATGAGAGGTCAAGTAAGAGCAAGTTTAGAAGCAGTTGGTACCCAAGAAGTGGAAGCCATTATTGGGAAGGTTACCCAAGTTAATCAGGACACTTTCTGGCCTATTGTTAATGCTGCTGGTGATAAAACTGTTGTTCTTGATATGTACACTCAATGGTAAAATTCTTTAACAATTACTCAATTGTTATTTTTTCTCAATTTTTTAAAGTTGGAATTTTCTATTTTTGTTATTTGCTTTTGATTGCTTATGTTAGTGGTTAGTTTGGCTTTGTTTGTGTGATCGACTTAATTTTACTAAAATGTACTCGTGTTAATGTTATATCCTTAACGGATGAAGGTTCTTACTACGTATTTATCACAAAACTGAGGAGTGTGTACATTTGAGGATTGAGGTTTTGGAGAGCCCTTGTTAAAATCATACAGGACTATTTTTCCACACAAGTTAAGATTCATTGCTCTTTTATAAGCATTTAATTAGTTTTCAATCTTTAAGTTGTGCCACAGATGGTAATGTGAAATGTTATTTTGAATTTGGGATTGTTCAAAGCATTCTTATTCAATAGACTACAGCTAAAAAGATTGAAATCAATTAAATGAGTAGCTAAAATTGGTGATCCTACTAATGCAAACTTTTGGTGGAGTTTCTTGTATTATGGATTGAAGTAGCTTGATTGCAACCTAGCAGCATTATTGGCTTATTGCCCCCCTCTTTCGCGGTGTACTTGAGAGCACTGCCTTGCTTAAGAATCTTGTTACTGTGATTATTGGCCTAGGCAGGCTGCTTCGTTGATTCTATGGTGTTATGTATAATCCGAATTCCTCTGGATTGTCGAAGCTAGACCAAGTTTGGATCATATTTTGGCTATGTAGCCTATGTTGTATCCCTTAACTTATGAAAACAGTATGATTATGTGATACATCCCAAAACGACAGCATTTGTCATGTAATCTATGAGTTGAAAACTAACAGTCAGTAAGAATGTTTGCAATTGCATCATTTGCTGTGAAATTTCTGAACATGTTGTACATGTTAGTATGGTACACTTGTTGGCTACTTCTAGTCTTCCACTTCTCTTGTTATGAAGTTGTAGATATTATAACAAGAGAAGTGGAAGACTAGAAGTGGAAAACTAACAGTCAGTAGACACTTCTCTTGTAGATATTATAGAAATGACTTCCTCCGGAGTAATTAATCTATCATCAAAATTCCACACTGTCATGACTCTTGAAAATTGTTGTGAATTCGTGACCTTGGAGTGGGCATTGTGCTTGAATGCAGAGATCTATTTGTGCTGCTTATAGCTTTTATACAGTAATCGTTGTCCCTCAGTGTCAGTACTCTTATGATACCATTAGTTCTAACTCGAGTTTTACAAACTGTGAAGGTGTGGTCCGTGTAAAGCAATGGCTCCAAAGTACGAAAAGTTAGCAGAGGAATATCTTGATTGCATTTTCCTGAAGCTTGATTGTAACCAGGAAAACAAGGTACATATCGTTTAATTCTGTTTAGTCTAAAGCTTCTATTATCTGTCAAACGTCTCAAAGTGAATTATAATGATGATGTGATTTTTGTAAACATGGGCAGTCCTTGGCTAAGGAATTGGGCATTCGAGTAGTTCCTACTTTCAAGATTCTAAAGGAAGGCAAGATTGTGGAAGAAGTGACAGGGGCCAAATATGATGCATTGGTAGCAGCCATTCAAACTGTTCGAAGTAGCTGAACAAACACTCTAGTGTGCGTGTGTATATATGCTGTAAGATCGTCCTTGCAACTGACTCAGGAAGTGGGAAATGAGACATCATCGACAATGGCTAGTACTAAGTTGTAACCACTGTCTGCTGAGAATCTTGTATGAACAAGAGCTGTAATTTGTATATTTTTATGAAGTAAAGGAAATTTTAGCTCTACTAGAAGCAGTTCCTTGTTACATTTTTATTCTTTTCATAGACATTTGTAGTGCAGTTGTGCTTGCTTTCCCTGGGCTAGTATAATTGCCATTGCCACCCTCTTGAGCATTCTACTCCTTCCCTCTCCATAATATACCCCTAAGGCACACACACAAACTAGAAAGCAACAAAATAAACTAAACACCCCAAGCCGTAAGGGCTACACTCCATTATTATACCCTCCGAGACTAATCTTGGCCAAGCTACTCCACTCAGGCCGTCCAATAAAATAACATGAAGATCCTTAGGGCTACACTCCATTATTATACCCTCCGAGACTAATTATTGTTATGCAGTCACCCCATAGTTAGCTAACCAATCTACTTCTCTAAAGCAATGAGAAATTACAACCTCCCGTCATTCATGAGAAATAAGTCTTGCATTTACGGAGAATATGAATATACATAGAGTTAGTGGGAGTGTCATTCACAAACAAGTGAAACTCAGTCAGTTGGTAATAAAACAGTTTCAACTTAACCAAAGGTCTTAGACTCGAGACCTTGAATAAAAAACATCATTTGAAAGAAAGCTTATTAGCTAAGATAATTAAGATCTCAAAAAAAAAAAAAAAAAAAAAAAAAAACATCTCATTTACACCATCGTCCTTTATAGATCGGACATTTTTAGATAAACTAGTTAAAAAATTCACTTAAAATTATCGGGTTCGGCCCATCCTTTTATAAGGATTCATGAACTATCGTTTGGATACTTCGACCCATAAGGCCATACCCAATTATCCACCCAATGTCCAAACTCCAAAGGATTACAAAACAAGTCAAAAATCCCATCATCTCCTCAATCTCTCACCACAAGAGACACAATACCAGAAATAAAACACATACACAAAACTGTTTAAACAGCTTTTGGGAGTGTGGAACCAATTTTACTCGATCAAATTATTCACTCTTCCCAAAAGCTTCAACACCCTAATCCCTCCTTCATTTTTCATAATAATTTCCGGGTTTTTAATTTTCATTTTTTGGGGAAGCTTTGAAAATGGCTACAAAAGCTCCACCAATCACAGGTTTACGCCTAGCTGCCTCCGCGCCATCTACAACAAGCGCTGCTTCTCACAGGCTTTCTGTTGTTAGAGTTTCTTTGAGGTCTTCCTTTTTTGGTAACAATGGTAACTTACCCACCTTCAGTTTTCTCTTCAATTGTTATTTAATTTGATTTATAAGCAAATTTTGGCAAAAGTAATGATTACCCACCTTCAATTTTCTGTTTAATTTGATTTTTATGCAAAGTTTAGCTTCTGGGTGTAATGGGGTATTGTCAAATTTTCATTTTTGGGTGTTTTGTGATAATTTGTTATGCTTTTTGAATTGGTAATTTGTGTTTGGGGTTTGATTAGTTTGGTTTGATACCTATTTCATGAATTGAATTATTGCACGGATGGTAATGCTTGATAGTTTTTTGTGATAAATTCGATGGATTAAGCTGAATTTGTGGTTTATGATGGAGTAAATGTTTAATTTTGTTAGTGTTAGCTCCTGATTAGATACATGTTACATTGCTTGCAGTTGGAGCTTTGAGATTGAGTGGAGTTCAATTACTACATTCCAATAAGTCTAGGTGTAACGGCCTCGGTGGAGGTTCTCTTGGTTCACAAATGAACCTCTTTGATCGATTTGCTAGAGTTGTCAAGGTTTGAGTTTGAACTGGCTTTTGTATCACTTTATCTTGTTGATTAATGACATTTTTCCTAATGGGTTGTCATCTTTATTGGACTTAGTCATATGCAAACTCAATTCTAAGCAGTTTTGAGGATCCCGAGAAAATTCTTGAACAAACTGTTCTTGAGATGAATGAAGATTTGACGAAAATGCGCCAGTCAACAGCGCAGGTACAGTGCTCTCTTCTTAAGTTGCTAGTATAAGTGGATGTTACATGTTTTACTTCTCGCCTTGCTTTTCCCATTTGGTTAAGTGTTTTATACCTTTCCCTTTTTATGAAGGTATTGGCATCTCAAAAGCAACTGGAAAATAAGTGTAAAGCCGCACAGCAAGCTTCAGAAGATTGGTAAGCTGTTTATGGGGCTTAATTTGGATGCATTTTCAGTTGCTGCTTGCTTCCCCCCCTCTTTTTTTTTTTTAGCTGATTTGTCTTTCATGGGATATAAGGTATAAAAGAGCACAACTTGCTCTGAGCAAAGGGGATGAAGACCTTGCTCGTGAAGCTTTGAAGAGGCGGAAATCTTATGCTGTAAGTTTCATTTATCTTGCAGACCATCTTTCTTTTTGATTCGGCTTTCCCCTTTTGTTTTCTACACCTTGTATGCTGATGTTTGTGTATTGGAGGTGTTGTATAGATTTCTCCAATATCGTTGAAATCTACTCTCTCCCTACTCCCCGTACCCCCACCACCAGCCCTCAAAGAGTTAAATTTTAAGTCTCAAAGGACACAAGGAAGTGGTATCACTGGCATTTGAAGATTTTCTTCAGTGGTGATCATTGACTAAAGCTGAGTTAGCTGTTGTAATTGTCATTCTGCATTTTCTTGCCAGCTGAAAGTGTATTAAAATGTGATATGATATCATTACTTCCTCTATCTTGTTGATGTTGAAAGAACCCATCTGTGTACTAGCCTTTTTGAAATCACTTTTTAAACACCAATTTGTGTTTACTTTTGGTGGGGAAGTATTCTGATCCTCACTTCCAAACTGAAGATCTAATGTTAACCCTCATTTTCTTCCAACGTGCATTTTAGTACCAAATCTCAATTATACAATCTTATTGTGCACTTTTTAAGACAAAGTATTCCTTGATTAGTTGCTTATTCTTATCAAGTGTAATTAGTCAGCTTAGGGCCCCTCATTATGTACAGGAGTGATTTTTAATAAGTATAGATTAAGTCATACTCATGCATTTCCTTTTTCTTTTTTTTGTCGGGGCTGGAATTAGCATAATCATCAGCTAAGCCATGTCTTTTTAGGTAATGTAGGTCTGTCTTTTAAGGTTTGTCTTTCCACTATGAAGTACAGAATACTTAATGGTGTAATGTGGAGGAAATCTGAAAATATTTTGCCTTATTAGCAAAGAATAAGCTCTATTAACATTTATTATTTTACAAGGTAGGATTACATTAATAGTGTTCTTACTCATAAAAGTTGAAGGATTATAATTTCCAGCATAACTCTGGCCATGTTGCTCGAAGTTGCCTTTTTCAGCCATAGCTCCCTACCCATGAGTCATTTCTCATATACTTATTTGTGCCTAATTGTTCTCCTGATTCCTGAAGTCTAAGCATGAATATTGGCAGGGTCATCTGCCATAGTTGTGTCTGACTGTTCTTTTGAAATCTAGGCATGAATATTGGCAGATTCATCTGCCAATGAGAAATGTTTTATTTGTATTTTTCCTTGCTTTAGATAGGCAAGATTGTGCAATATGAAACAGTGCTATATAGATTGTGCCATTGTGGCCTAGTGATTGTCCCTCCAGATTCTTGCTTTCTTTTTGTTTCCAAGTTTTGAAATAATGTTGTTTGCAAGCTTTTGGTTTTCTTTTACAAGTATATCGGAACTGAAGAATTTAGGCTTTTTTTAGAAAAAGGAATTAAAAGAAATAGTTATAAATATGGAAAATGAAGCTAATTTATACAGCTGCAAAGAATATATAAACGTGTAGAGGTATTTTATTATTTTTGACCTTTTCCTGTGACATTACTCTTTCAAAATGGAAAATGGTTGTCTTATTATTTGTAGAAGTATAAAAGACCCCTTTGATTCAATTTGATTTGTCCTGCTGTCCTTAGGATGTACCAAGCTCGATGCGTCTTGTTGATGCTATTATCTTGCCTAAATGAATTGAAGCTTCAAGAATCATAATTCCTTTCTCACTTATCTATATACACTCTTACCATTTGCAGGATAATGCTAGTGCTTTGAGGGCTCAGCTTGATCAGCAAAAGAATGTTGTTGAATCGCTTGTCTCGAATACTAAGGTGTGCTGCTATGGCTCATGTAACATGCTTCATTGTCAGTTTCTTCTGTGTTATAGATATATAATTGATTTTCCACTTTTTGATGACTTTATAGCGCTGATATGGGGTTTGCTCTGTGGCCATAGTTTAATTTGGTTGTGCAATGATAGATTGGATATATAGTGTTGATTGTAATACCTGCATGCTCAAATAATTCTCATTGATACGTGAAAGACTTTGGTTAAGATATCTTTTTTTACTACTTCTGACATCACCTATTATGTGAAGCTCCTAAAGGAGATGAATTGATACTTGAGCAATAATATAACTGTGTGAAGGTGGATTATTTCTGTTCTTTGGGAACAGGCCTGGCAGGATGAGGAGTCCTTCTAGCCTATTTAATCTCTCTATTGGTTGGGGAACCATCACCTTGGGAGGGTATACTAATATACCATGATATATTGGTGGAACCTTTTCCATCAATGATGCTCCTTTTCCATTCTGCTTGTTGTCGTAGTACCGTAATACCGGTTGTAATTTAAGCCCTTAAAAGGCTTGTCTGGCTTGTTGCTATTGCATAAATGCTCTAGTTGGTTTGTAATTTGATTGCTTCATTGATTGGTTGTCTAAGTGATCAAGTCTATTGCAACTGGAAAGGTAATATAAGAATTTTTATTGAATTGCCTCTTCCTTCCCTGGCAGCTCTTGGAAAGCAAAATACAGGAGGCAAAGTCAAAGAAAGACACGCTCAAAGCACGTGCTCAATCTGCAAGGTTTTGTATCTATACCCTATTTGTCATTAGTATCATTGGAAGGTTTTTCTTTTGCCGTTCTGCGTCTATTTGCTCAAAGAACATATTAAGTTTGCAAAGGTTTAACCTTTTTATTTTTTATCCTGGTGTATATTATAGTAAGTTCTGTTTTCTATCTTTGGTTTTCCAGGACTGCTACTAAAGTAAGTGAGATGGTGGGAAAAGTGAATACAAGCGGTGCTCTTGCTGCTTTTGAGAAAATGGAAGAAAAAGGCAAGCTTTATTTCATTTCCCTTCATGATGTTATATGGGTCTATTGTGAATTGTATCTATTTTGTAGATTATAGGGCTATTTGGGGGTCCTTATTATGTATCATTAGTTTCCTTAATTATCCCTTAATTGAAGACAGCTCTTATTCCTTGGCCGAAGTTCCTGTGCCCTGTGCCCGTCTCATAAGATGTATGGAGTCAAATCTGAGACACCATATTCAAGTTTAAGTTAATATGCACTTTCATTAGATACTGATAAGTTGACTGTATATAGAGTTTAGAGAGGTTCTAAAATGAAGTATGCTGAAGAGATTGAGTACATAATCATCTTGCCTGCAATAATATCTTATGTATATCCACAAGCAATCTGATGTTACTACGCCGCATAATTGGCTTTGGGAGTAAGTGTCTTTGCTAGCTTCTTTGAACCACCTGGCGCTTTCCCAAATCATTCTCTTGGGGAGAGATAGGGGAATTGGGTTATCTATAGTTTTTTTTGGATACTTAGTGAGGAAACCTTGTCCTTCTGTATTAGTCTTTGTGATAATTTATAGAACATTAATTCTTTTTTTTTTTTTTTTAAACAATGGTTAATTATCATGCAGCTAGAATGTTTATTTTGTGCCTTGTGACTAATGGCCTTCTTTTAATACAGTAATGGCTATGGAATCAGAAGCCGATGCACTTAATCAGTTAACCACTGATGATCTTGAAGGAAAGGTAGGCCTTCACCCCCCTCCCCTTCTCTCTTCCGGAGTATAAAACATCATGAATGATTGTTGATGTAAATAGAAAAATCAAGATGATTCACACATGCACCTCCACACACAAAAGTTAAGAACTCGTACAGTACTCTTTTACCTCATAACAATCTTAGGAAATGGTCAGTGAGAGTGAGAGATTAATAAAATTGAAATTTCTTACAACAGCTGTAGTTTATTAATTATTTATACTGAGTGCTTCTCTTTATTTTATTGTCAGTTCGCGTTACTGGAAGGCACTTCTGTTGATGAGGACTTAGCTAGCTTGAAGAATGAATTGTCCGGGAGCTCAAAGGTATACTAATGAATTGATCACTTGTTTTTTCATCTCGGATTCATGTTGGTGCTAGATTTAATTTATCTTCCAAACAAAGTCATAATAAGTGATAAGTAAAGAGAGGATCATTGTCAAGAATTAGCATGCAACGGATTTTTAATCATGCCCCCTCCCCCCGGTCTCTAAACAGTAGGTCACATTTTGAAGGAATTGAGTTAAACTTCCTTAACTATCTTCTAGTGGTTGAAAATTTACATTTCCACTACCAATATAGTTTTACTTTTAAATTCTTTGTTAAGGCTATCATTAAGGGCACAAGCTTTTGGAAGTTCCCTATTATTTTGGGACAATAAGTAATGATTATTTGCTGGTTAACAACAAACTTAGCCTATAATGGGGCTAGACACTTCTACTTGTGGTTCCATACTGAAGTTGTCCAAGAATTGTATCAAGTAGTTCATTCGGTGTTTCATGTTGTTTTTTCCTGTATTAATTTTTGAGGAGGTTGATGCCCTTGTCTATTTTTTTGAATGACCTTGAACAGAAAGGAGAACTACCTCCAGGGAGAACAGCGGTTGCCAAATCACCCTTTAGAGATATGGAAATCGAGTCAGAGCTGAATGAGCTCCGAAGAAGAGCCAGCGATTATTAGATATTGATTTATAGTTTCCATCATTTTCCCCGTGTAAATTATTTCTTAATCTAAACCAAATCACGGTTTTTTGTAATTCTCGCACATTGTTAAGCTTACAAATTAGGAAGAGATGCAATTTACTATACAAGCTTGTGAAATTCAAGTAATCATTGACCTTTGTAAATGCAAAAGTATTCCCGGTGCTTTTCATGTACCCTCATCTTTGTTTATCAAGGTTATAATAAACTTGTATCTTCATGTACGCTCATCTTTTCATGATACACCGGGTAGGTCATAACATCATGAAGTACATTAGAATAACACCTTTTGAAGAATTCTCGTGACATTGTATCTAATTGTGATTTATACGAGTATAGGTAAATAAACATAGCCTTATAACCTTACAGGATGTTATTAGATTCATCACGATTTGAGCTCTCGATATAGAATATGTAATGAATGACCGAGGTTGTCTTTTCAGAATGACCATGGAAGTAATGAAAAAGAAAAAGTTATGTAGTTGAACCATCCGTTCTATTCGTTCAAGTAATCAAGTTTCATTTCTCAACTACTCCCTCCGTTTTTAAATACTTGCTCTACTTTTTTTTCGGTTGTTTTTAAATACTTACTCAATTTCCTTATTTGGAAATTTTTTACAATATTTAACTAATTTATCTCACCTAGTGGACCCACCACATATTCTCTCTCCTCCAATCCTCTCCACTACTTTTGCTTTTTACAATTTATTATGTGGATTGCTAAACACCGCCAACAAAAATGATCACCACCGCCAACATTCGGTGTGAATGGACAATCGTACTCTTATTACTTCACCATCCCTTCATCCTTCCGGCAACCCACAACCCCTTCCAACCGGCGATCACAACCCCTTTTGACCGACGACCCACCACACCCCCTCTATGACAAACCACCACCTTCCCTGGTCGGCGTGAAGGTGGTAGTTTTTTTTTTTATTTTAGGCAAGGTAATCGGTTGCCCAAAACCGGTTACCGTGCGTGGTAACCGGTTTTCGGCTCCGGTTACCGTGCACCTTAATCAATTTTATGGTAACCGGAGCCCAAAACCGGTTACCATGCACGGTAACCGGTTTTGGGCTCCGGTTACCATAGAATTGATTAAGGTGCACGGTAACCGATTTTGGGCATTGGTTATAGCAATTGCCTGAAAATCTGAAATTTTAAAAAAAAAAAAAAAAAAAAAAAAGGAGGGAAGGTGGTGGGTCGCTAGTGCGGTGGTGATCGTCGCCGGTCAGTGTGGTAGGGTGGTGGTGGTGTTAGTCATCAATTAGGGTGGTGTCAAGGTGTTAGTGATTGATGGCAAGAGAGAAGATAGTAGTGAAATACTAAGGACATGATTGTCCATTTACACTAAATGTTGGCGGTTTTGATAATTTTGAATGGCGGTATTTAACACCCCCCTTTATTATTCTTCCACCTACTCCACTATCTCCGTATATTATTATTTTCTCCAATTTTTCCTAAAACTCGGCGCATGGAGAATTGGAGCAAATATTTAAAAACGGAGAGAGTATTCAAAATTTCAAATAGAAGGACTAAAAAATAAAAATTTAAAATAATTAGAAAAATAAAAAAAATCTCTATTTTGCATTCTAAAATTTCCAATATAGGCATATAACCCAAATATACTTTCTTTCTCTCCCACACACAAAAATCTCCCAAAAAAAATGGCCTCAATTCCACTCCTCCGTCTATCTCTCCTCCCCACCGCCTCAACAACCACCACTCACCACCGCAAACCCACCAAATTCCGGCCACTCTCTCTCCTCTTCCACCCTCTCAAATCCTCCCCAATTACCAAAATCAACTTCCCAATTACCACCCAAAAACCCAAAACCCTAAAACCCCAAAAATCAAGCATAACAATGTCAACAACCCCAGCATCAGACCGCTTAATCTCCTCCATTTCCTACTTTCTTCCCTTCATCAATGGCCTCCATTACGGCGGCTTCCTCTTCGCTCAATACCCACCTCTCTCTCATCTCTTCCAACCCCTTTTACCCTTTTTCTCTCTCTACAAATCAATCCCATATGCTAGTTTCGTCTCCTTCTTTGCGCTCTATCTTGGGGTTGTCAGAAACCCTAGTTTCTCAAGCTATGTTCGATTCAATGCAATGCAAGCTCTTGTTCTTGATGTTCTTCTTGTTCTTCCTTTGCTTTTGCAGCGGATTTTTAATCCTGGAAAAGGGTTAGGGTTTAAGATTATGGTAATGAGTCATAATTTTTTGTTTGTGTTTATTGTTTCTTGTTTTGTTTATGGGGTTGTTTCATCGATTTTGGGTAGGACTCCTTATTTGCCCATTGTTGCTGATGCTGCTGGTAGACAAATGTAATCATCAATTAGGGTTTTGATCGAATGAAATTAGATTGAAGCTTTTGTTTTTTTTTTGTGGGTAGATTTGATCTGGAAGAATTAGATTACTAGTGATGTAATTTGTTCTTTGAAATGATTTAATGAAATTGGAGAAATTTTGAAGAAAAAAAAATCCCATATTTTATTTATTGATTTCTGATGTGTTGTAATAGAATAATTATGGTATGATTTATACAATCAATAAGATACAATATCATACTTCATTGTTCAGAATTATTAGTAACACTCAAATGTAATTTGAACTAGTAATTTGACTACTTTGATCGCATTAGAAGAAGGCTGCCATTTAGAGCTATCGAAAATTGATCGAAGTTGAGACTGATCCATGGTAGCCTGGTAGGCTTGAAAGTTAAAACATGGTTTTATGGTTGGTAAAAGAGGTCAACCTTGCCCTATTCCATAGAAGTATAACACAAGAAGGAACAGGCTCGAAAACAAATGCCATTATATTTGTCGAGAACTTGTTTGCATATAGCATGACTATGTTCCATTATGCAATCCACAAAGAACAAATGTTTGTCTAATGAAATCGTAGGCTGGCTGGCTTGTATAATTGAAAGAACAATTTGATAATTTTGCCAACATTAAGATATAATCAAGGTTTATATAGCATCAACTTACAAATTTATATACATTTTTAGAAAGACAGATTTATTATGTGCCAATGTGCCATTATTTAGGAAGACAAATTTATATCACAATCATTTGGCACATTTTATAAAGCAAATGATTGTGTCAAATGGAAAACTTGAACATTTGCACATCATTATTCACAATCAACTAAAGACCAAAAATAAATTATACGGAGTATAAAATGAAAAATAAGGCACAAAGGAGAGGTTAAGCAGAGCATCCATCTCACCATAATCAAGATTTTCTTTTCATACATCCTAAGCTATTACACGGGAAAATTACCGTACTCTTTCTTCAACTAGCAAAATAAGCATCTCATTCGTTCGAAAAACCAACCTAAGTGATGAAGAAACGCGAAGTCCACAACCTGAATACTCCCGAGTACTTTGTCTCAAAGAAAGATGAAAAAAAAAAACACATAATTTTACGCAGCAAAGGTAAACTTGTTCATGCTGACAATGCAGTACATGAAGCTCTAGTATCTATCTCGGTCATGACGCCTGCAAGCCAAAAACAAGCCAACTTAAGAGTATGTATGATAAACCAATAAAAAAAACAAGCTCTGGTCAGAACCACAATCAGCAAAAGTGGCAAACAAAAGCACAGCAGATTTTAGAAATCACAATATGTACTCATATTTCCTTAATAGAAACTCACAACTCATGATGCTCCTTTAATAACAAGCTGCTCTTAAAAGCATTGACACAAAAAATAACTTAACTTGCTTTATATTCTAAACTGCAAACCTAAATGACCACTGCAAATAGCTAAAAGCATTGAACTTCATGAAAGCATTGACACAAAAATAACTTAACTTGCTTTATATTCTCATCTCCAGAACAAATTAAATGGAGATTAAACTGCAAACCTAAATGAACACTGCTAATAGCTAAAAGCATTGAACTTCATGAAAGCATTGACACAAAAATAACTTAACTTGCTTTATATTCTCATTTCAGAACAATTAAAATGGAGATTAAACTGCAAACCTAAATGAACACTAGCTAAAAGCATTGAACTTCATGACTCTAAGCAGATGTCTAAGTCACCCAAGTGCAAATAAAATAATCAGATAGGACTTCAAATACCTGCTACGATCATAGTCACGGCCGTAATCCCTGGAACGTTCTCTGGACCGTGAACGAGACCTTCGGCGACTTCTTGAATCATGACTGCGGGATCGCTCCCTATCTCTTTCACGTTCACGGTCATAAACACGATCCCTGTCACTGTGCCTATCACGGTCCCTGCTTCTCCGGTCATAATCCCTATGCTGACTATCACCTCTTTCCCTGTCCTTACTGGGTGCACGTTCTACTTCACGGCTGCGCTCTCTAGACCTACAAGATAGTTTCAGATCAGAAGAATCTTTGAGCATATATAGCACAAGAAGAGATACCAAGAACAAAAGTGCTACTGGACATGTAAGAAATTTAGACAGCAACGACAAATAAAAGAGAAAATGATGGAAGGGAAGCTAGAAGACATCTACCTTCTATCTTCTTCATGAACCTTGCGCTTCTTGTTTTTTTCTTCCTGAACATTAGTAATCCAATACAAAATTTATTCAACATCGCATTTAGCAGGCCACTCACAAGCAGATCTCATTTATGCAACAGGTATCAAGCTATCAACACAATTTACTAGAGAAAAAATTTGGTATACTACAAACTTGTAATGAATGATTCAATTAGCATAAAACCATGATGTCCATGAATACAAAAATATGAACAAAATGTGGTCTATCAAGCAAAAAAAATTATGCATAACAATCCAACATAGCTTTCAAACACTGTGCACAATAGCTCAAGCACATAGACTAACATATAGCTATGCCAGGAAACGTCAGGGAGTAAGGGGGACCCTACAGTGAGTGTAGTGCCAGATAATTAGAAACTGCCCCCCCCCCCCCAAAAAAAAAAAAAAAAAAAAAAAAAAAAAAAAAAAAAAAAAAAACCTCTTTATTATAAAGTCACTTAAAAGCTAGCTTTTGGAATTAAAATTAAAAATAATAATAATAATTGAACAAGTAGCATAATAGGCTGAGACCAAATGTTAAGAAAAGCAAAACAGTGCCTGAGATTCAGGGAAGATTATAAAACCAAAAATCAATCTCCTTAACTAATTAACCTCAGCATTAGAATTATAATGCCACGTCCAAAGTCTAGCAATAAAAGTGTTGATGTCTGATAGAAGCTGAACCAAGGCAATCATAAACCAAATACATCTCAAACCTATGTTGGCATACAGATTAAAATAACATTTATTAATTAATGTCCCCAGCCATAACTTGAGGTTCAAATTCTTTTCCTTTTGTACCTTTTCTTCAAAATATAATGGATTGGTCACCATTCTCTATTTCAAGTCCGTTCGAACTCAAAGGTGAGCATATATACCAAATCAGAATAATAAATTGCAATAACCACTCTTCTAAGTATAAGAAGAACTCACAGATGGCAAAATCGACCTTTTACAGAAGAACAATGTGATTATAGACCAGCACCTGGATCACATATTCACATAGTCTTGAGAATTTCCCAATTGGCACAAATAAAAAAGAACAATGCCAGAAAAATAAACAAATCCCACTGGTTTAAAAATTTACTTAGTTTACCTCCACACCTACTGAGCCAAGATTAAAGAAATCACTTATGAGCAACTACTACAGAAAACCAAGTAGATGACATAATAAAATAATACAATAGATATATATAGGACCCTACAGTCTTCATCTTACCAATTCTAATGAACACCCCACTCATACCAATATAAAATAAGTACACTGCCCAGGTCGACTCTCTTTTAAGCCACATAGTAACACATTATTTGAGTTTTACATAACAATTTAAAATAAAGCAATTGTAGACGTACCTGAAGCTCAGCTAATTTCTCACGAATTTGCATGTATCCCAAATGAAGCTTTCCCCCAAAATGATCTGCTAAACGACGATCACTGAAAACCACACGCAAATATCAAACTCATCCATTTAATAGCATTGAGTAGATTGTAGCATAATTTAAACACTTCAAAGCACTCCAACAAGTATCTAGCTAATAACAGCATGATCTACAAGCATAAAATAAAAGACGCACATTCTTTAGCTGGAAAAGTTATCCTCGTAAAACTGGGGCCAAAAGCCTGCTGGTGACAAGGAGGTATAATTACCGGTCAAAAGCTGAAGTACTTGAAACCCCAAAATACTAATGTTTTGTCACCCTCATAAAATAGTCACCAAAGAATTATCACATAGTTGACAACAGAGAAATGCAACCATTACCTATCATAAACACTCAAGAATGCTCCACAAATATCACAGACACGTAGCTTCTGATCAGTCTGCCAAAGCAAAAAACAAAGGATCAGGACATTGCATAGTTAATACAATTTTTTTATATATACATATTAATAATGATTTTAAAAAAAAGTAATGCAAACATTGTAATGGTAAAATTGAAATTGAAATGGTATAGACCACAGTACCAAAGAAAAGGAATTCATATACCATACATCATAGTGATTAGAAAAATGGATTATAGTGATCAAGTTGTTTAACATTACGTAGTATTCAATTTATTTCATATAACTTGGGATGAGAAAGAAAACAAGGACCTGCAATCCACTGCTCTATAAGCCAACATATACGAATCCCAAACCAAACATTGACAATATAACCGAGGTGGCAAACACTTGGCTGACAATAGGTGTAGTATAAAGATTAATTTCATGCCTTGAAGCATCTCCTATTCTTTCTGTCAATTTTATGTAAAGTTAAATAGCTCTCAAGCAATCCAATAAAACACAAGTTCTAAAGTCTCTACAATAACTCACCCAGGCAAGCAAATCAAAGGATAGGTAGAGCAAAAACAAAAACTACCATGATTTTTTTTTTTTTGGTTAGAGAAGGACTCACAATGCGAACATCAGCGGCAGTATACTTTGCTGGATCTGCTGAGGGGTCCGGCCTTGGCGCAAGCTGGAGCAACATGACACAGGTTCAGAAGAGAACAAAAGTTGACAAGAATGGAAGTATGACATACAAAAGTAAAGCTGAGTGAAGAAAATAAAGTACCCTCTTTAACGCTTCAGCTTCCTCTAATGCTTTCTGTGCTTCATCAACCATCCCTTGCTCACCTGAATAATATACAGAGACTTCAGAACTTAAGGGAGACCACACCAACACAATAACAATAAAATGCCATAAGCAGCCACACTCAATCTTACCTAGATCCTCTGCTTTCTTCAGTTTCTCGTTTATCAATTCTTGAGTACGAGCATCAGGAGCAAGCATAGGTAAAGGAGCCAATGGAGGAGGATTGGGAAGTGGCTGCGGTAGAGAGGCTCTGTCTTTGTTGAAAGCGTCCAAAAGAAGCATAGACTGCAAGGAAAAAAAAAGATACAGTACTAAAAAAAAACAGATCTTTGGTTGGGATAGTAAGATACAGTAGACGATGAAACAACAAACCTGTTTATCAGCTCTTGACGTCCTTAATTCTTCAACTTCTTCCAAAGCTCGAATTTTAAGATCTGTTTTGCCTTCAAGATCTGAAAATGCAATAATCCAGGATGGGCATTAATTAAATATTTGAATAAGTCGCAATAGGCCACGCCTATGAATTTCATACACCATAGATGAACTAAATATATACTGTGTCTAACTTTAAAACCTAAAATCAGCCATAAGCTCGCATCCCGTCTCTAGCTTAGTCTAAAATGCAAGCATTGAAGCATACATATAAAATAAAACAAGTAAAATTACAGAAAAAGTCTATCTAAGATGACCTAGGAAGTTCAACACCAAAAAGAGTAACCATACTTCCTGAACAAAATAATAACTTACCCGACTGGTCAGCTTCTTTCAACTTCTCTTTGATCTGCTTGGACAACTCTATGATCTCTTCTGTCTACAGCAAGTGACCAACATAAATTTTAAAATAATAAGCATACCAATGGGGAAAAGATTAATCTTAAAATAAAGGCTTCATCGTTACCTGGGTAACATCAGACACAGAAATTGCAATAGCAGCTTTAGCATCCTCATCTGCAAGACGCTTGAGAGCTCTAGTAATTTTTCTGTCACATTCTACAATGAGCCTGTCTATGACATCCTCTAAATCCCTGTCGTAGTTATCAACACCCTTGGCCTTTGCATCTTCATATCTGATATGAATTAAGAACTAAACAGACGGTGCCAAAAAGTATTCCAAGTACGTTTTTATTACTGTCTTGTATAATTGTCGAAACTAGTTCCATTTGACATGCCAAATTGTCACAATGCATGTAAAGAATCAGCAGAAAAGCAAAGTTCCATAAAGCACCAGGACAGCAGATCACAAACTACGAAATAGCCATATAAAGTAAGCTTAAATAAGCAAACAACAATTTAATGTAGAAAGTGTTGAAAATTTTCTTTTATATGAAAGGCAAGCCTGAAAAGGGAAACAATGATCCAATGTTGGAAGTCTTGAATTTTTTTTGTTAACTAAAAGAAAAAAGAAACAAATTAGATTAAGAACATCATCAGAGTACTACTGTCTTGCCAACTGGTCATTATTAACACATTTAGAAGGACCTGAGAAAAACATCTAAAGATTTTTTCAAGTGCAATCCTCTCAATAAGTACAACATTTCAATCACCGAAAATTATCTCATTAAGAAAGGAACTATATTCATATTCCAAACCAAAGAAATCATAAGATCATAGAAACAGGGCTAATAACAATAATTCATATCCCCATAATAGCTATTCCAAGAATACAAAACACCCAAAAACTAGTACTTCTAGTACTTCAACCAATACCCAAACCAATAAAGCATGAAAGAATAACGAGCAAAAGGATACTCTTTCCGTAATTGCAACGAATGCACCTTTGGACATGGCCCCATATCCATTTTCTGAAAAAACAAAACTTAGTTAATGTATAACCAAATCATAATAAAGGACAACATAGAAGCATTAACTAAGACACTAGTAAACATGCAACCAGTGCTAACTAATTCCCATATTCAACGTGAATTGCAATCTGAAAATGGTGAATTAATATGTGATACTGTCTCATTTTGCCTTAATGTAACAAAACTAGGTAGTGAATTGTTCTCCCTTACCAAATCCCATATGGCAACTCAGTAACGCCTATACAAACTAAGACACTAAACAAACCTATGACCTAGGATGATATGGTATGCCACAACCATCTCTGAAGCAGACATAAATAAAAAATTAACCTAAAGTAATGAATAAGAGATTATGAGTACATAGGTTGGAGGACAATCCTATGCCTTTGTGTCAACAAAAGATGGGCGTAAAAGTCTCCCTTTTTCAGATTATCCTATTTGTATTCCTCCTTTGGGGGCAGAGGGTGGCTAAATGGTTCCACTGACACTTAAAATGAAAGTTGTATGATCAAGTTATTGCATCATCAATAATTCGATATACATCCATGTAAGGTACATTAAATCAAAACAGACCAGAAACCTTCTCTTGTCCCGGCTAATAGCTCATACCCAAAACTACACCTAAAATCAAATTCTTGGTTCTCAAATTTACAACATTCAACACAAATCAAGATCAGGCACTCCTTTCTTCCAAGTTATCGGCGTTTCCTCGAAAACAATGTCACTAAAATTCCCCACATCACCCATACTAAAAACATTTTCATCTCATCTATTCAGTCACACCATCAAGTCAATCACACTTAATTTTATGAAAAGAAAATCACAATTACACTTATTAAACTAACATGCAATCACATAATAATCAATATTTCATTATTTAAAACACGAAAAATCAACATACAAATAAATTAAGTTGAGTTAAAAAAATTCAAATAATTCAGCCCAAAAATATACTATAACAGCTATACATTTACACGCTAAATTTCAGAGCAATTGAACAAAAAAAAAACGATGAAATTAGGGTTTGCTTGAATTAGTACCGTTAACTGGAAAAGTTCGTGAGGACAAAGACCAGACAAAAAGAGACGGCAAACATCTCGATCGAAATACTTGCGATTAACTTCAGTAACATCTCCATTACGATTAGCACCCATTAACACATCTAATTGCTTCCGAATCGCATCCATTTTCTCTCTCCTCTGAAAAAAGGAGCGAGTTCTTCAAATTAGGGTTTTTGGGTTTGAGGAGTTTGTGTTTTCGGGGGGAGAAAAGGGGGAAGATTCCGCACTTATGATGTGATGAGGAGTTTGTCAAAACCTCTAAAGTTCTAACACTCCTTTTCCTACGACTATTTGGGGGATTTTTATTACGGGGTAACCCTTTTTTTTTACTCGTATTTGAGAGAGCGTATAAACTTAAAATCGAGTTTAAACTCTCGTAAGATCTTGTCTTGCCATTTTATTTTTATTTTTATTTTTATTTTTTTTTGAAGGGGGAGATTAAAATTCATTATTAGTAAGTCATACGGCACTTACATAAGAAATCGTAATCGAACAATACAAAGACAAAAGAACCAATTACAAGTTCGAAGTAAAATAAACTACAATTGCACGCGCAAAATGACTTTCTGAAATACCTAGTGCAGTCAAATTTCAAACCGAAACCGTTTAACTGCCCGAAACCGAGCGACCCAAATGAGAACCGAACCGATTAAAAACCGATTTTTTTGAAACCGAAAACCGACCCGAACCGTATTTTAGTAAACCCGAAACCGAATCGACCCGAATAATGTTAAACCGTATAAGAACCGAACCCGTTAACAAACCGAACCGAATATAAACCGAACTGAAAGAAAATCGAACCGAAAAAGAACCAAACCGTATCTAACCCGAAACCGGTTCCAACCCAAAACCGTTTAAACTGGCAAAAAAAAACCGCTTACACCGAACCGTTAGCAAACTGCTACCCGTTTGCACCGAACCATTTAAAAACCGAACTGATTGTAAACCGAACTGGTTATAAACCGAACCATTTATGAACCAAACCGCTTCTAAATCAAACCGTTTACAAACTTTTTTATATAATTAAATTGATTTTTTTTTTACGGGGATATAATTAAATGGATTAAATATTAGAAAATCTTAGAATATTTTTTTTTAAATAGCAAGGCAAATCATTCATTAAGGTTTTAAGGATAATCAGTGTTCACAAACAGGAGCAAAACAAGCAGGCTCAGGCCCTGCCTCAAACTATTAGCAACACTACTGCCTCTAGTCATGTATACATTTGAGGTGATGAAACCAAATGAACAAAAAGCTTGTAATATTAAGTACCAAGGCTTGGCTGAAGGCATAATAAATAAAATTAATTCACAGAGACTATTAAGCATATGATTACATTGATTATGTGAGTAATAATGAAATAAAGATGGGAGTGTGCTAGTGACATGAATATACTATTAGGCTATGTTTTAATTCAGATTCAACTATAATTTAGTAAACTTGAAATGGAACCGATATGAATAACGTTAAAGCGGTTAAACAATCGAAGAACCGAACCAGTTATAAACTGAACCGAAAAAGAACCGAACCAGTTAAAAACTGAACCGAAAAAGAACTAAACCAGTTATAAACTGAACCAAAAAAAAACCGAACTGTTTCTAACCCGAAACTGTTTCCAACCCGAAACTGTTTGAACCGGGATAAAAACCGTTTACACCGCACCGTTAACAAACCGCAACCCGTCTGCATCGAACCGTTTACTACCCGGACTGTTTACAACCCGAACCGAATTAAGACCGCTTAAGAATAAACCGAAATCGAATCAAATCGATAACTATTTAAACCGAACCAAAACCGACCCGTGAGACAATTAAACCGATTCCAAATCAACCCGATTAAATACCGAACCGATTTCAAACCGAACCGAAACCGAACTGTCAAACCGTTTTGACAGTGCTAGAAATACCCTTGACTCATATAACGCTGTCCTATGCAGCCTCTTGCAAGGGGGTCTGGCAATAAGTTGTAGTTTCTAACGTGAACCTTCATTGACTCAGAATCCTGTACTCCTCGACCAGAAATCAAAATTGGTGTCGTACACTTCACCATTGACAAGGCAATCTCCGATTCAAACACGGATTTCAACATGGAAGCATAACCCTTCAGCCCAAACCAACAGAAGATTAAACCAAAGCCCCATAGCAAAAAAAAACCCGACTCAAATCCTGCACCAGAAGATCAGCACACCGATCTGCATTCCCCATAGCACACCAACACACCACACAAAAAGAAAAAATAACAAACCCAACTAAACCACACACACAAAGACGGAAAAAAGAGACCCAAACACCACACACACCACTAAAAGAAAAAACAGAAGGAAACTTAAAAACAAGAACTACGAACGTAACCATAACAACCCACTCCGCAGCCAATCCGAGCACCACCATGTTCTTGTCATTTTATATTGGGTTAAACTAAAATTATTTTACTAAATAAAATTTAATTTTACTTAATTGAAATAAGTTGAATAAATTCTCTATTTACTGAATAAATAAGTTGAATAAATTCTTTATTTTACTAAATAGTATATTGTTGTTTGATGTTACTGATTTTTAGTTATTATAAATTATTTAGTAGTATCTTTAATAATCATGATAAAGTATGGTATATAAATTATGAACAAATAGAAGTATAAACAAAGTTGAGTTTGTAACGATGTGTTTCAATGCGAAGTATGAGTATTAACAATGTACTAGCTAAGCTTATGGCCCTGTTTGGGAGAAAGCTGAAAGCTGAAACTGATTGAGTTAGCTGATTTTGACTAGCTGATTTTATTAACTGATTTGACTAACTTATTGTATTAACTGATTATATAAAAGTGTTTGGTAAATAGCTGATAGCTTAAAGGTGATTGAGTATGTGAAATGACCAATAAGCTAATTGTGGGGTAGGTAGTTTAGATAGAATTTTAAATTAAATGAGGTTATAAGTGTCATTTCACAATAATTAATGAATAAGCTAATTGAAAAAGCTCCTAAAATGAGCTTTTTCAAAAAGAGCTTATTTAGTGGAATAAGCTCTTTCAATAAGCTTACTACCAAACACTTGTATTAGCTTGTTTAACTAGTCAATCAGATAAAGTTAGTTAAATAAGCTAATGTACTCCCAATAAGCTAACTACCAAACAGGGCCTATGTCTACAAAACAGCAAGAGGAAGTTATTATCTATATCTCGTAATGGTCGTTTGTAGATGACTTGCACATTCAAGGCTATCCTAACTCCCAAGTACAATATAGATAACACGACAATACGATTGAAACCGACATGACACGAACACGAAGTTATTGAGAATGCAAGAAAAAACACGAAACTCGACACAACATGACTCGAAACTAATCTGAATATGACCCATTTAGTTAAAATGGTCATAATTATGTAATTTTCTTACATCTCACATGATTGTCGATAGGTTTAATGAACATTGTGAAAATGACAAAAATTACGAGACCTAACATAAACACATGACTTTTTACAGTATGATAGCCGTGGTATCATTTTATTATTTCCTTTTACATCATTGTCTTTGTGGCCCGCACCTCTCGGCCCGCCATCCCACGTCTAATCAACAACCCCTCTCTCCGGCAACATCAAACCACCCCTTTATACACAACAAGAAACTCTCTCACTTCTCACCTCCCCTGCTCTCCCACGACAACCAGCAACAATGAGGACTTCACTCTCCTTCTTCCTCCTACTCACCCTCTCATTCTCTCTCCTCTTTTCTCAATCTCTCTCCTTTCAATCTGACGAACTTCTTCTCGAAGACGATGAATTCGAAGGAATTTCAAAGCAACAATCATCTGAACTCCCACGATCCTCCACTCCTTCTCCTCCTACCACCGCTGCTACACCCACCACAACAAGGCGGAGATCATCGGATTCTGATATTGATTCTAAGCTTCAATTCAATGTTGAACATGCTTTCGGAGATTCCCAATTCTCCCATGCTGGAACTTTCTCTGCTCGTCTTAAATCCTGGTCTCATGGTGGTCAGGTCAGTTCACTTTTTTTGATTCAGACCCATTAATTTGATTTTTCTGGGTATTTTTGAATTGATTTTTTGATGCAATCTGGGTTTTTTGGGTGGAGGAAATTGAATCCGAATTACGGGGGTTTTGTGGGGTTTGATGGGTTAGAGGAAGATGAATTTGATCATAATTTCTAGGGTTTTGAGGATTGTATCGAGAATTTAGATTGAACTTAAATCTATAAATTGATCCTTTTGAGCAAATCTGGAATTTAAGGTTTTAATTAACTAAAGAAGCAGTATTGTTATTCTAGCTTTGGTAGGATGTTGACTTTGAGGTCTGTAATGGCGAAAACTGGCTTTGTAACTGAAAATACTCTGGATTTTGTAGAATTTTGTTTTATTATTAGAAAATGAGTTCAGATACCGGTGCAATTAATACAATGGCTAAATTCTTATTGTAAGCTTGGGATCAAAATGTATCAAGAAATTATAGTTCTTGAAGCTTCATAGCAATACGGTTGTTTGACATTATATTTTGATGGTAACAGACTCTAACCAAATTGCGGTTTTCGAGGAATACCTTGACAAGCTCAGAACAGGAGAAATTCAAGGTGAAAATTGATATATCGCTTGTGCTCATTCTATACTTGTCCTCTATAGCTTATCTTATGGTATTAATTTATCTATGTATATAGGAGCTATTGCAAACAGATGATTTCTATAAAATAAGACTTCCATCCAACGTCTTGAGTCCTCCAGGGAGGAATTATACTGTTTCAGCTGTAAAGGCGGTAAGCTAAGTTAGTTCCTTGTTATATCCCTTGTGTGTCTTGCTTTACTAAGGCTGCTGTCTTTAGTCTTTGATGGTCATGGTTAAAGAGAGTGGTCAGTAACTTTAATTACCTTTGTTTGTTACACCGATTCTTTGGGTTAGGTCATAATTTCATGTGATTGTTCAGTAGTATATATTTTTATTATTGAGCTTATGTTTCCATGTTAGTTTATCTGTTTGGAATATTAGAAAGTTTCCACCTTGTAAACAGGGCCATCCCTTAACGGATCTCATTAATTCTTGTATATTGCTGTCTTTGTTATTATGTTTTGCTTTCCTTAGTTTCTGTGCATATGCATTGGAAGTCGTGTTGTACTTGATTGGTGCTGATTGTAAGAGTATTAAGGATACCTGCTACAACTTATATTATGTAAGGGTTGCTTAATCTTTGCAGTCCAAATCTGAGCTTGTCAGTAAAGTTCATGCTGCTGAGTGCCAGGTTTTTTTGCTTTTATGCAATTGTTTTTCTTTCTATGCTTAGTCTATTGCTCTTCTGATGCAGAGATGTATTGCTAGGGAGACTTTGGATGAGCACTTTGTCATACACATGGTATGAATCTACTTATATTCATCTGATTTTCTTGTTAACTTTGTCAAGTGATGCTTGTGCTGTAATCAAAGTTTTCTGCTGATTAATTTTTGCTACTTTCTGTAATGTATACTTCCTCCGTTTTCTTTTACTTGCAATGCACTTTTTGGAGATGATCGGAGAAGATAAAACAAACCAATCTATCAAAATAATTTAACCCCAAAAATAGGGAATAGTTAGGTACTATGTGTAATAATTAAGTTGATTTATTAGTTAGTTAACATCATCTAATCTCTTTGTTAAATGTGTGCCACGATGCTGTATTGTATCAAAAGAAATTGAAGTATAGTTTTTCGACATTTTCCTATCCTGCTTGTGTTGTCTGTACTCTGCAATATTACTCATTAAAAAAATTTGTATTCATCCACTATATGTAGTTTGTTCATGGTCTATGCTCACAAGTAATTAAATTGAGCGTCTTTCATATATATTTGGTCTGCAGGAAGGAGTTAACATATTGGCTGTCAACTATGGTTCTTTTGGGGCATGCCCATATCCTCGGCAGCCAAAATTTGTAAGTTAATTCTTTTTTCCCTATCCTGTTTGTTAGTTTATATTTTTTTCTCTATTCTGCCTTTTTTTATATTGTTCCTGGTGTTAGTTTTTTTTTTTGGGTATGAAGAACAGATATTGTACGGATTCCTCAAAGCTGTAACTTTTTGAATGAAAGTTAACTAATAAATACCCATTAACCACTCTACGCCTCCCCCTTTTCCCTGCATGTGGTGGTATAACTTACTCTTTCATTCACATGAACCTCAATGACCTATTTTTATGTACAATCAGTTTATTGCATTTTATATTCTAAGAGGAGCATTGCTTCAGTTTTGCAACTGTAGCAAGCTGGTGTAATTAGCCATGTTACATGCCTTTTAAGAGATTCCCAGAATGCTCACTGAATAAGGCCTTGTTCTTCTCAACTTATTTCTGTGTAATTTAACTTCTTTTTGCTTAATTAGACTCATTGAATATAGTTAGTCGAGGAGAACAAAGTGCATTTTTTTTCCTTTCTTGTTGGCTACTTTGTGATCTACAAGTTGCTTTTTGACTTTGTCTTTGAAGAAGAACAAGTTGTGTAGAGTTTTCCCCAAGCCTGCTTGCTTGTATCTACTCAGGCACAGCTAGTTATATATTCTTCTCTCTCTAATTCTTTTTTGACAAGCAACTGAATTCTAGATGTTAATGATTTTTCAGCCTTCCAAATGGTCTTTCAACTCACATTCAGTGTTGAAATACAGCGAACTGGCTCCAAGGTATGCCTATATGTATTGCTCTCTTGTACTAGCTCCTATTCCTGGTTTAAAAGTCAAGCAGTTGGGGTCCTGGGACAAAGATTTGAATATAGGTTTAATTTATAAAATTAATTTTATTAAGCTTCCCCCTAACCCCCACACACATAAAAAAAGGCAGAAAAAGATATACGGTGTTTTGTTACTTATTAATAAGTGATACAATGCTAGGGATAAGGTATAAGGTATTTTGTTACTTATTAATAAGTCATTGCCCGTCAATTGTTTCTTATCATAAGCTCTTTCTTTGTGTTCATGGCATGGTTACTTTGCATTTTTACTGGCAAAGAGAGTAAGAAGTATGGGGTAGCAATCAGAAAAGGAAAAAAAAAAACTGTTAGTGAGTTTTCATGTCAGGAATTTTTTTGATCCAAATAATTGATCCTAGATCATGTTAACAAACCTCTGTGAATTCCTTTATATCTTTTGCTCAATAGTCAATACTTACTGCTCTGCCTCTTGCATATGCTCAATGCTGACCTTTGTTCAACAGAACTCCTGTTTTTGTTGAAGAGACTCCTGAGGAGACTGCAGAGGCTGAAGCAATGAATCAACCAGAGAAATCCTTTTGGGCAAAATATGTGAGTGATTATTTGAAAAAGACTAGCCTTCCTTCCTGGTTAATTCTTTTTGACCAAATATTCTTGAAATCTTTTGTTGCAGTGGATGTATTTGATCCCTCTAGGGCTGATGATTATGAATGGTATGACACAAGCTTTGAACGTGCCAGAGGAGGCCACTGGCCAAGCAGGAGGAGGGCAACAACCAGGAAGGGCTCCAAATGCAGCTGTACGAAGAAGATAGTCTATTATTGGAAGCTACTGATTACTTGAGGTTTCTTAAATCTTATTCCTAATCTTTTTAATCACATATCAGCTTAACAGCTGTGATATAGGGCTAACATTCTTTTGGGAATGGTTTAGTAGTGTATATGTTTAGTCCTTTACATACTTGTACTGTTCATGAACTATATACATTATCAGCATTTTTAGTCAATCAAAAGTCTCAGTTGATTGTTAGTTCATGCACATTGGGGCATGCATATTAGGGAAAGCTGGTATATTTACCTTCTCTGTTATCATGCACAATATGGCTGTCACCCTACCTTGATCTACATGTTCTAGTAGTCTGCCTAAGGCATTAAATTAGCTATTTTAGGCACCTTTGAAAGTATATTTACGTTGTTGGATACTATCATATGCTACTATGCAGAATTTTATAAATAAGAATATCATACGTAGGCCCTACTTTTTGAATTTTCTCCAATCTTTTACAATCAATCTAGGAAAGTCAGTTTTAGTGTCCAAAATTAGTTTGGTGATGGATAGAAACAACACTACACTCTAGTATAATATATATATATATATATATATATATATATATAATTAGTATAGTAATACTCGGTAGAATTGAATAGGGCCTTAGTTATGAAAATATGCAATGAGTTCGAACCAACTACCTTAACTCAACTTTATTGATACAGATGTGTCTTCAGTTTCAAGGTTTACTAGAACCCTATGAGCCCGAATTTTAACTCATGATATCATTTTTTTTTTTAATAAGTAATAACTATTTGGTATGTTCTTCTGCAGCTGTAATGGGCTTATGTGGTGCAACTAATCTTTAACCAAGTTCCTTGAAGAAATCAGGAGGCTTTTGTCAAAGACCCTCAAGTTTTTTGGAAAGCATATAGTCGATACAGACATATTTATGTCATTGGAAGTGTCTGAATTCCGAGTCACATCAAAATTTGATTACTATGTGCATTTAGCCTTAGGAAGGACATCAATATGGCTCAAATTCTATATGGTGATTATGTTTTGATTGTTACTTTAGGTTCCATTTAAGCACTTTTCCTTTGTAACTTGGACCAAATTCGACTTGGTACTTCATAATTGTTTAGTTAATGAACTTTGTTTGTTCATTCAAATCTTTATTGTTTGCTTAATTTTTTATGATGCTAATTCTTGTCAAAGAATTTTCCTTGCAAATTTACAATTGATATATGTATGCATTGAATGCTATGGTTAGGATCATTGGTAGTTAGGATCATTGGCGCTCCACATCCTACTGTCGTGGGATTGACTCTTCATCTCAAAGGGATCGGAGTTATTGTGTACATTCCAAAAGTCTTATTACAAGTGAGATTTGCAAGTTCACAAGATTTGCTAGTTGACAGCAAGAAATTTGGAGTTTTTAATTAACCTAGTTCTATAAGGTTTGACCTATTTCAGTGAAGCATTCTAATCAATCAAGTTTAAATAATAAAATTACTCCCCTTTCTCAAAGTTGATCCAAAGTATTATATAATATCGTCACACCACCACTAAACTTATCTAAACTAATTCCATGGAATAGAAATCAGACCTCACTAAGGTAAATAGCTTGTCCAAAAAAAAGAGAACTGGAACTATTGTATTATATATATATATGCAGTTCAAAACGGAAATATTGAAATAACTTCAGGTATCTATTTCTCAGAAGAATGAGTATCTCAAAACCCATAAATGTTTAGGTGAACTGGAACTAATATATCTGCCTTTGACAGGAAATATGACGACGAACAGATGATGTTACAAAATTGCGCTCAAAAAGCCACTGTGTGATGCAAAATACTCTTGTACAGCCCTTACAATTCATCCTGCAAAAACCATAATTCCACATTTTAGTTGTTTGTTTGGTATGACAAAAATTCTACTAACTTGTATATGACTGATTATCAAACAAGGTATGCATAAACAGCCACTGCTAATAATTGCTTACATGATAATCATCATCAAGATAGTCACGGCGATGATGCTGCAACAAGAACAAACAGTGTCAGCTATTAAACCGAATATGATCAACAGGGACAGCAGAGAGTTCTGAAACTGAACAAACTTTAAAATGATGCATTCGTACCCGTCTGTAACGCTCTCTGTGGCGATCCTTGTGTCGTGGATGTCGATCATAACCCCTTTCTCTTCTCCTTCTTTCACCTTCTTCTCTTGCTCTTCGAGATTCCTGCAGAGAGTACACAGAAATTCATGAAATTATTGTTTAGCATGATTTCAAAGCCGATAATGCTGGAAATAAAAATAATAGAGAATGGATCATTTCGCACCTCCTCCTCTTGCGCTTTTCTCACTTTCTCTGCTTCTTCAAGCGCCTCCTTTTCAATCTAGCATGGTAATGAACAGGATGAACAACATTTAGGTGCTGTCAATTCAGATAATTATTAAAGTGTATGTGCATTCATCTTAAACAAATACCTCTCTATTGGCAAAAACTTCATCAACTACTTGTTTTGCATATTCCGGATCATCACATATTAAAATGTTGTCAAACACTGATCCTGCTTTTACCTGCATTCAGAATGCACGTCACTAAAGCCCCGTTCTCTTCAACTTATTGTTAAACGAACTAATTTTAATAGAAATTTTGCTCGATTTTTACTCATCATTAAGACAGTTGATGGGTTAGTTTCCTACCTGCCAGACTTCTATACCCACATACTTGATAGGCTTCAGTACATAAAGATCAGGATCATCTTCAAACTCTGAAAACAACAAAATGTCTCATTAAATCTCATTGTCTTGTGGCTGTATTGAAATACGAGCTTATTGAAACTAAGGTTTGATTATACCTGGATTGTCAATCCATGGAGTCTTCCACTTTCCTTTGTAGTTGGGGTTCTTGATTTTCTAGTAAAAAGAACAAATTTTCAGAGCTGATTGAGAAAGAATGAAACACTATATCATAGCTAATATGCAGTCTAATTGAGTTAGTTTACTCTTTTCTTCCATGGCCCCCTGTATTCCGGGTTTGGTATTCTTGGAGGTTTCCATAAGCCATCCTCATCCTCATCCCAATTAGGGGGCTGTCCAAACACGAAACACAAACGAGACAAGATTTGTTATTCAGTTTTCGATTTCAATTATAACCAAACTTTGTTTGACCATTACCAAGAGGACATTAGCAAAATTCAAGACATTAGATGTTACTCTAGACAGATTTGTCTGATTACCAATATATCATTATATGACTCAAACAGAACTCTATCCAAATGATCCGTTTGCCACCTCTACATACTTCGTTTAATGTAAATTGGATATAAGAGACAATATTGACTTGTTCAACATTTTAATTGGTCCCAAATATGCTGTAATTGCCCTACATATGCTTTTTTTTAGACACTCCCACATAAAGAAAAAAGGTGTTAAACAGTCAAGTCACCTGTTTGGCATTCGGGTCAGGAATTTCGGATGGTATTGAATCATAACCCTGCAATTCAGTCATGATCATGTAATAATACAATTGATTAGCTTACAATAGTAACAGTTGCATAATACAGAAAATATTACAGTTTAAAGAGAAATGAAATCATTGTACCTCAGGTTTGACATGATTAGGATCATCAATATATTCTTTTTCTTCCCAATCAGCAGGCTACAAAAGTTAAAAGCAACACAGTTGTCTTAGAAAATGATGAATAATTTTTAAGTGTTATAATCCAGTCTTGTGCAATATTCATACAATGAAATCCTGATAAATTTCTGACCTTTTTAGCTTTGACATCCTTGATCTTTCGCGGAGGAAGGATATCCCAATCCGTGTAAAGACTTCCTGAGTCTCTCTCTCGATTGTCAACAAGGAGGCTGTAAGTAGCATCTGGCCGAAGTATGAATGTATAGAAATGTGTTAACTTGTCTGTTTCGCATTGCAGGTCCTTCTTTACAGGATAGTTTTGGCCTTGGTATGATAAGATAAGATGAAGCTTTTTTGTATCTGAACCACAAATGTCTGGTCCAAACATCAAACTGCCAAGAAAACAAAATTTCCAACTTATTATTCAAACTTCAAATATAATCATAAAGCTTTCATATATAGGTTATGTAATGTATGCTACATGATTTTTTTAGCTTAAACTTGAAAAAGATTTTGATCAGAACATAATATGACCCGACTCTAATGACCTTATTCCACCTCTAATAAACGGATGATTGATGTGTGAGGGCAAACCTGTAAGGAGTATCTCCACCAAATTTCTTCTGATTGACAAATCCAGATAGAAGCTTTATATAACCACCACCACATTCGATGTCCTGTTCGAATTTGATGGAATACTGAAGGACCAATGTTCTGTTCTTGTTGGTGAATTCTGGTATCTTTGCAGATATGGCAGAATGCTTTGCATCAATTGAAGTCTGAATACCTGCCAAACAAAAAAAAAAAAAAATCTTGGTATAAATGATGTTTTATGTTTAGTACTGTAGTTTTCAATGGCATGTAGATACCTACCTTTATCATCAGGATCAGCAGCCCATCTTCCTGCTGTATGTTTGAATGTGCCTGCTTTTCCCTCGCTTCGTTTCCAGTCTGATACCACCCACCTGCTCTTCCAACCATCTGCACATACAATCCGAAAGTTAAATTTAGACTCGAATACATCGAACACAGCAGCATAATAACAAAAGTAAAGCCCCTGTGCATGGACTCCTAGCTCATTGTGCATGTCTGCATGATCAATATAAGTTCAAGTGAAATGTAAAAAGAGAGTACCTTCAAATCGCTCTTCGAATATAACTTCTGAGAGTGCTGGATGGATAAAACATAACAACTGTAATACAAGCAGCAGAGAAAGTAGTAGTGATGGAAGCTCAAGTTTCGAAGGCGTTACGCCAAACCAAGCCATTGGCATACTGCTAGTGTTGTTGCTGCTGCTGGTGTGCAGCAAGAATAGCTAGTTATAGGAAATATATAATGGAAATGGCTCAAATTTGGCTTGTATTTACAGTCTTACCATTTGGCCTTCTATTTTTTTAGTAGGGTCCTAAACTATTTAGGAATATAACCAATGAGAATTGATGGAAATATTGCGGCAACCAATGAATTTAAGTCTCCACATCGTGTGGGGTTCTTGAGTTTCTTTCAAGTTGTATTCACATACTAATTCAAAGTGGAAATTTTCATGGCAAATTTTACTATTATTCACATACTAATACAAAGTGGAAATTTCCCTAACAAATTTTATTACTATCTTCGTTTCTTTTTAGTTAATATTATTTGTGAAACTTAAAAAATTACTTTGTTGTAATTAAAAAGAAACGGAGGTAATAGATATCTGTAAAAGAGTTTGTGATTTGAGAACTTTGTTATAAAACAATCCAATAAGGCTATGACGTTGTTGCCATATTTCGTTTGATTTTATGTTACACATGTTATCGATTTTCTTTTTGTTTTAGAAACACTTCATTAGAGCGGTATTGAAATTCAACTAAAATATTTCTCTATGCAACAATCATATCAATATCTGCTTTCAAAGACGTTGAATTTCTAAGATACAAGAGGAGAGTTAAATGACTGTTTTAGTTGTGAAATTACCCATCAAATGCAAACGAATATTTTTCATAGACTAAGACGAGAAGACTTGGGGCAACTTCTATTAGAATAGTCTACTTCAAAGTCTTCCCATAAAATCTTGACCTCTGAAGTATATAGCGGGGAAAAGGAAGCAACACGGCAAGCTGATAGAGATTTGAAAGAAATTTCTAAGTTGGAGGCTAACAAAGTGACAATGGACCACCAGAATAAATTATTAGCAGCAGCAGTGTTAAAACATGAGTTAATTGTGAATAACATAACAAAGCATGAATAAAAAGTCGATTATTACCTTGTTCAAGATGTACAACAATTATTCTAAACTCTTGGCGGAATGATACCATTGTAACACCAGCCTTGCAAAAATGGTCTCCAAATACAAGAATCACAAACGTAAAATGCATCAATAATGTATTTGGATAAGGGGGAAAAGACCACCTCAAGTTTAAGAGGGTATGACAAGCACGTTAAATTGTTTAAAAGTGAAAGAACAGCCCTAAATATTTTCTAAAGCAATATCCATATCAAACCAGAGAGCAAAGAAAAAGGGCCCTCAAAACTCTCCATCTATTTTGCCTGAGGGTGAGATGCAATGAAGTCAACCGCCATATTGATGGAGTTGATCTTGTCTGCTTCGTTGTCTGGAATCTCAAAGCGAAATTCTTCTTCAAGAGCCATCACAATTTCAACAGAATCCAAACTATCAAGCCCAAGATCATTTTGGAAGTGTGCATTGGGAGTAACCTGAGGGCATAAACAAGAATAAGTGATAAAATCTAAGCAAAAATGCAACACAAATCCTCCCAGTACAAGTCCTGATGTTGGAAGGGAGTCATGGACTCAAGGGCATAAAAACCTTAGGCATTAAAACCAAATTGAATGTAAGAAAAAGGTATTGTAAGACAAATTGCAAGTACAGCCAATATACAAATGCAGATATAAAGAGCAGAAGCAGGTGATTGAGGACCTGAATCCAGAAAATATCTTAAGCAGGTTCAATCTCTAATATTCCTTTGATACTCCAAAACGTGCACAAATTCTTGTTCTTGATAAGAGTATTACCTAAAGACTGACTGACTTTGTTTTTTGTGTTAATGCAGCCAACAGGTGCAGTTTCTAAAGTATATCAGGTTGAATTTTGGACAACACGCTGGGTAGACATGGGCATTCGCATGTCCGACAAGCAAAGAAATAGATAAAGAACCACATCTGTTTCTTTATAAAAACAAATGCTCACATACTCGCATTATAATTCTAATAGTTGTAATCTTTCCTTGCAATTAACAGGCCAGGCAATCAGCAGCATTAGCTGCCATAACTCACAACACACATACATTCACTTGACATGGGCAGTGATGAAACTCAGGCGAAAAAGATAATACCAGCAAGGCATTGAGCATTTCCTCTAGATTCAGCTGAATAGCTTATTGGGCTAAAGATTTTCAGATGAAGACACCAGCATACCTTGTAACTGCTCCAATCCAGTGGATTACCAGAGAAAAAAGGAAGAATCACAATAGTAAGCAATATATCTGGATGTTTGTTGAAAAAGATCAGAAATAGCTATTGGGGAAAGGGATGGTAAGTGATAGGATGGAGGTTAATATGGGAATTGGTTCACTGTAGAAGACAAGGAGCTACTGATGAGAGGAGCAGTATGAACCACTTGCATATAGTCATTAAAGGAGAGGAATAAGGAAGCCATTAGTAGGGATTTCTCTTACATCTAACCTAGGCAAGTATCTTGGTGTTTCATTACTCCATGCGCAAGTTACCAGAATTAGACATATACAGTTGATAGAGTTCGGGATAGATTGAGTGGATGGAAAATCAACCAGCATTCCTTGGCGGACCGAAATGACTGACTGAGTAAGGGTGATTTGGCCCTACCTACATATATAATGCAAATGTTAAGCTGCCAACATTGACTTGTGAAGAGATTGAAGCTCGCAGCAGATCTTTATCTGGGGGTATACGGATGAGAAGAAGCCCCATCTTGTTAAGTGGGAGCAGGTTTGCCAACCAAGGGCCAACGGGAGTTAAGGAATAGGGAGGATAAGTAATGGGGATACAGGCATATAGGGGAGATGAGTCGGAATAATGAAGCATTTCTTATGAAGTTGGGATGGGGAATATTTACTCTTCCTAATGCGCTATGAATGAAGGTGTCACGTAGTAATACATGAGAAAGAAGGTTGGTGTTCCTCAACCCGTGGCCAAAAGTAGTAATTCACCTCTTTGGAAAGGAATTTGCAAGGTGTAGGATTATTAAATGCGCTGATACCTGAAAGCGGTGACTCAATCGAAAAGATAGGGATGAAGTGGGTAGTTGGCAATGGGTGGCTTCTAAATTTATTTAAGGATTCATGGTGGATGGGAAAAACCCTTGGTAAAGCTATAGCTGCAATTCCTCAAGAGGACTTGACAAGATGCATAATTTTTTTTTTTACAATATATACCAATAAGACTATAAGACTACCTAGCTAATTCTCAAAAAATATTATTTCTATAATCATTCCGCCTTACATCATAGTCTTTTCCTTATAGAATAACTATTATCTAATTTGCTGAATGCTGATAATATGCACTATTCCAAATTGAGGACATGACTAACAGACTCAATTGCAAACTTGCAAAAACATATACCTCCAATCCCAAGATATATTACAAGTATGAATAATCAAATGCATTATGTGTGACCAAGTCTATCTATATGATTTCTCATAGTCCCTTTTTAAATGAAATAACAAGCTAACAGCACGCAGAACAAATAGGAAAAGACCAAAATCAAAGAAACATAAGACCACTTACAACCAAATACCACAAAACACATAACAGTCATGGAGTCACCCATAGCCATGCTGCTAAACAAGCAAATGGATATGGTTAAAAGTGAAATGGGGAAGATGGGTAGTCATGTGGGACAATTGTAAAATTATTGTAAGCTATAGAATTACATCCTTCATTCTTAAGTCCTAATGCCAGAACAACCAACAAATAACACCCACATACAAAAAACATAATTATCATTCATAGCTCTGAGGGATGGTCAAGGGTAAACATATATGCCAATCCAGAAATATGACATCCTAATAGAAATGAAATTTGTTAAAACACAGTGATACTGATATAATTCTTAAGACAAGCAATAGAAATGTGAAAATGTTCCAGACTACAACATACATAGGGAAAAAACCGAAACTAAATATGCTGGTCCTATACTCCTATGAGAAGGCTACATACAGGGCATCACATGCTTGACCATCTGGACAGCTCAACAATATATGATAAAGATTGTGCAATCCCCAAGTCTCATACACCCACCCCTGGCACCCTAGGATAGTGATGGACTGATGGTGTGGCGCAGTTGGGGGGAAGCTCTCTATATCATTAACTCGTGTAAGCAAACATACACAGTATATCCCAAGCGAGTGGAAAGAAATTCGGAGCCTACACATTCATCAATTGCCCCGAAAAGTACTTGCCCTAGATCACACAGCGAAACATTAACTAATGCACCTGCCCTCCTATTCCACTTAGAATTCCAGCTCCTAAGAGAACAATTCTTTCTTCTACTCTACTAGTTCCACATGAATGTGAACCAACAATCATCAAAATACACACAGAACACTTTCGATTTCATACCCAGTAATCAAAATTGACCCTGATTCTAATTTATAAGCAATTTAAACTCCCATTTCGATGCATATTGATGAAAATCATTTCGTCAACTCTTTACGATGGACACATGTAGGCAAGATCTCTAATTTATACTTATTCAAAATCAACAACAAATTAAAATTAATTGGAAAACCCTAATTGGTTTATTCGAAATCCAACAAACCAAAAATCAACACAATAAGATACAAATCCATATAGCTTGAATCAATTTGACCTAATTTACAAACATAAACAATCTAAATCAACAACATTTTAACCAAACAATCGAAATAGTCAAGATCGAAAACTGAAATTAGAATTCAGCAGATAGATAATAAAAATGAAAAAACCTTGGAAGGGTCAACTTTCTGGAAGTTCTTGACGACGGTAATGACACGATCAGCAACCTCGGACTTGTCGAGGAAAGAACCTCGTACCTCATCGGAAAAATGGCGGCGAGAGAAGAGTGAGTTGAAGGAAGATGAAATGGAAGGGTTTTGAGCGAGAGGTCTAACTGGAAGCCTCATGTACTTCAAAATTGCACTGCGAGCAGCCGCCATTGATGAGGGATGAGAGAGAAATGGAGGTGCGATGATGGTGGGTTTGCGGAGGGTTTTGTGGCTTCTTCTAGGTTCAGGTGTTCGACTCTTTGCCTTTGGTTTCTATTTTCCACTTTCCTCTTATGCTTATTTTCTGCACTTTTGTGAACAACTATCCATCAACGTGGCCCTCAACAACGGTTAAATTAAGGACTTATTCAGTTCATCTTAATTTCAATTCAGTTCCTCTTAATTTCAATTCAGTTCATCTTAATTTCAATTCATTTCAGTTCAATTTAATTTCATTTCAGTTCAATTTAATTTTAGTTCAGTTCAATTTAATTTTAGTTCAGTTCAATTTAATTTCAGTTCATCTCCAATCTGTTCAGTTAAGTTCA